CAACACTGCTGACCATGGCCCATGCCAGTTCGGAGCCATGGATAGTCGCCGGCTGTTTGACGATCGGTCCAACACCTTTTGCCTTGACGATGCACCAAATCATAAAGATAAGACAGGCAATGGGTGAGACGATCGTCTTGAACGTGAAGAAATGACGACTGTTGCGAGCTCATCAGTAATCCCTCAGAATGAACTTCTCTAAACGTACATTGTGTGCACGGGAGGCCATATGAAGGGCAAAGATATAACCCAAAAAATGAGGAAGCACATGAAATCCCTGGTATTAGTGCCAGAGGACAAGGGCATGGAATTTGCTTCGTCGTATAAGGTATCATATCAGATCACGAAGGACCAACTCATCAAAAACTCACGGATATTATTAACACTTGGCCAGATTGCACGGAGCATCACTAAAACGCATGAACCGCCGATACTCGATTGCACTCCGTACCAGATACTGCAATGAAGTGAGTACAGCACGGCGCAGAAGACATCATACCTACCATGCCATCGCCGCTCTATTGAATACACACCACAAGCTTCCAAATATTCCGAAGCTGGCACGGTTGACGACAGGGAAGGTAACATGAAATACAGCACCCGGTCGGCCCAACAGGACGACAAACGGCGTCATCACACCATAACCAATCCAGATAGTCAGCCAGGCTTGCCACCACGACATGCCCATGACGATCATGCTAGAAGTTATCATCCAACTATCGGAGAAAACCTGTATGAGGTTACATTACAAGCTGAAGATTTGCAACTAACGTTCCGACATTGATCTGCGAGTAGAGCTTCATAAGCGTTTTGTGTCATTATGATGATTCACTACTCACCGACGTGCTCGTCCAGCTGGCCGACAAGCGTGTTAGTTGTGCAGTCAATCCAACAGATTGCAGCCCTCACAAAGCGACATAACTGAATGCAGTCCATGTTCTTTCCTCTATCGGAACTGGCAGTAGATCGTCGCTCTGAGGGACCATGCAGTAGTAAGCCTAAACTGTGAAACCTAGTAATCAGCACTTGAAACTCACCGAAACAAATTGCAGGTCGGAGGGAGCACGCTCTTCTCGAGTATGGGGAACCTCGAGCGCTTTGAGCAATTGTCTTGCAAAGTCCATCAGTTGCGATAGGTCGTAGACTCTGGGCACAAAAGTGCAAAGTACACGTATTTAACACAATCCTGTTATCTTCCCTGAAGTGTCAAACTGACTGGATGAATCTTCTGTACAGGGTAAAACGTATGCCTTCTACAGCGGACGCTAATAGATGCTTGAGAACAAGGTCGTAGATTCTCATATCATGGCGTCTCGCAGTGGCAAATGAGGTAAACCAACGGGTATCACTTTGTCACGCGCACGACGGTGACGTGAAGGTGGAGAATGCCGCTTCACGGCACCTCCCAGAGAAAAAAAAAATTGTGATGGATTTTGAAGCGCTTCATGCTGGTCAAGAAGATGAAACATAGCATTAGCCGGGATCCCAAAAATATTGCAGCGGTAATTGCTAGGGTGGAATAAGCGAACGAAGACGATAGGGTCACCTACTACTGGCTATGGGTCTGATCTTGGGCCTTAAAGTGGGGATGGGTCATTTTGTGACTCATGCCAAGGGGAAGAGTCGAGACTCGAGACATCCAAATTTTGCTAGGGAATGCAATCCACCTTAAGCACTCTGGTTGAAGTGAGATAAATGTACTTACCTCTCATCCCCCGAAACAAGACGTCCACATGCAAAGTTTGCGAGGCAAGTCGTGCCCGTCCGGCCCGCGGGACATACTTACGGTGATCAACCGTAGCTAAGTGGTCTTCTATCCTGAACAGTACTCGGATGCTGGTCGGTAGCTCCCAATCGAGATTCAAGGACTTATCTTTTGTACACGCGCAAGCAATCTGTCGATAACGTTGTCCTGGGCAGGCTGGGCAAAATCGATAGAAGAACTTGAAGTTCAGACAGTCATTCGGCAATCATTATTGGGACTCTACTGTGACTAGTGACGAGTCTTACTAATAGCATCTTCACGAGCACCCACTGTGGTAATCTCTTTCTACGGGTCTGGACTCTGCATCGGGAATTCAAAAGAACGCGTTAACTCGTCAAACTTGGGGAAGGAGTTGTATTGTCACAGTACCGGTAGTACCAACAATGTCTGACACAGAACATGGCGCCAGACAAAGTCAAAACTACATAAACATACCCAACCCCAACCCCCCACACCACACCAACCTCGCCTCACCCACCAGCCCAAGACCACCACCCACACCATTCACCAGCAGCAAAAAAACTCGACTCCCGATCGGAGTACGTACGTAGGGACCAGACTAGGAGCGTAGTATAACCTAATATGATATATATAATCGGACGCGTAAAAACAGACGTGAGAAAAAAGGACGGAGCGCAAGATGTGACGGGTGCTAGAGCAGTGAGATGGATGGACAGGCGATGTGGAACAAAGGGAGACACGACCCCTGGAAATACGAGATGTCGAGATGACGGCTGACGATAAAAATTGAGAATGATGTCCGAGCGGTGATGGTCTCCTCCCCCTCCCTCCTACACGAAACATAAAAGAACGAGCTCATCGTGTAGGAGTACCGTTGCGGTACGCTGCCTGGTTGGTATAACCACCCCGCTGAGCTGGCTGCCCTTGTGACGGTGCAGGCGCTGCGCCGTTCTGGCGGCCGTTGCTTGAAGTTTGCTGAGAAGGTGCCTGCTGTCGCTGCTGCTGAGATGATTGGGGCTGAGGCTGGGGTTGGGGTTGGGACTTTTGCGGGGCAGGCTCCTCAGTAGCGCTGGGTGCGACATAAAGGCCCTTATCGATAGATTGGGGAATTGGCTGAATCTCGGTGCCAAGCTCCTGCTCAATGCGATATAGATTGAAACGGTCCTCATAAGTGACCAGGTTAATAGCAAGACCCAAGTGCCCGAACCGACCGGAACGACCAATGCGGTGGAGGTACGTCTCCGAGTTCTTGGGGAAGTCAAAGTTGATTACAACGTTGACTGCCTGGATATCAATTCCTCGGGTCAATAAGTCTGAGCAGACGAGGTTGCGGCAGACTCCATTGCGGAAGTCATGGAACACGCGATTACGATGTGACTGAAGCATCTTTGCGTGCGAATAGAAACATGAATAGCCGAGGTCTGTTACTTTCTTTGCGAGTAGCTCGACGCGATTGGTAGAGTTACAGAATATAATGGATTGGTTGATTTGCAACTGGAGATGGATGGTCAACAAGGCAAGGGGGTTGGTGCGCGGGAACTTACTTTAGAGAAAAGGGTGTTCAAACAGTGGACCTTCTGTCGCTCCTCGACATAAGCGTAATACTGCGTAACACCACGTAAAGTGAGCTCCTCCATAAGATTGATCTCATAAGGGGTTCTCATGCGTTTGTCCTACACAAAAGAAACATGTCAAACACTAGTAGCAAAGGCAATACCCTGGATGAGCCTACCTTGAAATCCTTCACCATCATAGGGAAGGTTGCACTGAAAAGCATGACCTGACGATCCGTAGGAAGGAAAGAGAGTAATTGTTCCATGACAGGAGTGAACTCGGGCGACAAAAGTTTGTCCGCCTCGTCCATGACGAACACAGGACACTCGCTGAGATCAGCAACGTTTTTGCCTGCTAAATCCAGGATACGTCCCGGTGTTCCAACGAGAACATGAACCGTCTCTGATAAGCGCATAATATCATCTTTGAGGGTTGTGCCGCCTGTGGTCACCATGACCTGGATACCCATATGTTTTCCCAATATTTTACAGACCTGGGATGTCTGGAGGGCAAGTTCGCGAGTAGGGACGAGGAGTAGGGCTTGAATCTTGTTCTTGCCGACATCAATTTGCTGTAATGAGGGTATAACGAAAGCAGCGGTCTTGCCTGTCCCGTTTTTAGCACGAGCAAGGATGTCACGTTTGGTGAGGGCGACAGGGATGGCTTCTTCTTGTATAGGCGATGGCCTTTCGAAACCTGCTTCAAAAATGCCCATGAGGAGTTCACGACGGAGGAACATGTCCTCAAATTCAGTTCCTTTGGTGTTTGTGACGTCTTCTGTTTGTGGGCGCAAGTCTTTTGGTGGTGGACGAAGACCCGCCCTCCATGAAGCGTCAGTGGGAGTTGCGGATGAGCTACGAAATCAAAATTGCATTAGAAAAAGATAGGTTAAAAACAGGAAAGAAGAACATACGCGGTGGATGTAGATGTAGATGGTCTTGCCGATTGAGACATGTCCACGAATTGTTGTTAACGGTCACGGAGAGTAGATATTGGTAGTCGCTATTGGACGATGTAAAAAGGCAGGGCTAGTTTTATCAGCCACGCGTCTTGTACTGAGGTTTAGTATTTGTGGATCGGTAACTTCTTTGTTTCTTGATCACGCCAAAAATGAATCGACAGGCTGACGATGAGGTTGTTGAAGGCTTAAAGGCTTGAAGGACGTTTGGGTTGAGAGTACTAGTTGGTCGAGTGCAAAACAGTTGGTTTCAATCCTACAAAGCCATTGAATTCAAGGTTTCCCGTTTTCTCACGACCCGCTATTGGATCCGCTTTACCTCTTGCACCTGCCTGAGCCAGGGTCCTGAACAACGTTAAACTCGCGTGACACGTCGGCCCTCGTAACGTAGGAAGGGCCTCTTAGTGACACGATTTTTCATCCCTAGGTCTCAGAATATCCGCTCAAGACTTTGTTGGCAGTCACAGAAGGTGTAACAATTATTTTGCGGTGGCCATGCTGACTATTCTATGATTGCAATCAACTTGAACTCCCTTAGTTTGTCACGCCCTCGTGTGGAGGTACGTCAGATGAACTTGCACGTGTTGACAAGCAGCCGGTTCATTTCCAGACTCGGTAGGAAAAAAAAATCTCAGTGGCTGTGGGCCACGTCGAATAAGCATCGTTTTCGCAATGAATTCGATATGCTCTGAACCTAATCAAAGTATGGCATAAATAATGTGCCAGGCAGCATCTCGCATGCATTTGAGTTGACATCCAATCATGACGGTGCCTACCTCAATTCTTTACGCTCTCACAACATATAGGACGACCGTGAAACGGCGTGCGTAGTAGGTGCTATTCAAGCCTCGTGCAGGGTGCATCCGAGCCGGGACCCGCCTCTACCCTTCAAGTTCCGGACCGATAACGTACTTGGCGAAACTTTGCAAGCCCATCAGCACCCATGTCATACCTGCAGCCAATCTCAGAGTCACCCCAGGTGAAGTTCCAGTCCCAAAACTACCTCATCATTCTTTGAAGAGGGCCGATGGAGATATCAAGAAGCTGGGACTTGAATTAATGTAATAGCAGGTCCGGCAAGGGGAGGGCGGCCATTTCGTGATCGCAAGCGAAATGATCTTATGGAATTATGTCAACAAAAAGGAGCAAGGAGGCTAATGTCAAAACGAAAGGGATTACCTTATTTCTTGCGCACGCGACGGGTTGAACTCTGAATGAAGTGAGTACCGTGCCGGTATACATGGTAATCTGACTATCCATTATGTATTAGATATAGGAACCTACCATATGATATCTATCAGCTGCCTGTAGCGTCATAGATGAGATATGGTCATACGGGTCAGTGCGACACGGGGACCAGACAGAATCTCAGTGGTAGGTGTGAGAGGATGCCTCTCATTTCTGCTTGACTGGAATTAATCAGCAGCAGTTGATTGGACTGACAATATTGCGAGAGACAGTGCAAACTTTCACATCAACTACATGCCGGAAGAAACATTCGCGTTACCCATTCAACTCCATCTATTCCATGTCTCCATTGATGAATCACGACAAAAGAATGGCTTTTCTTCCTGCACCCTTGTTGCAGCAGGACACTCCTTCAGAGGTTGCTTGGTGTGTGCCACTTGCGTTTCAGAGACCTGTTGGATCTCATGATAATTCATGAATTTTTGGGCCTTGTTTTCCTCGTCGACCCAATGATCAATACATGCCTAGGACTTGCGGGATCACACACAATTCCCGGTTGTGGCTACCTTGGTAAGGCGCTAATAACTTTTGGCCGTCACGGTGTTTAGATTACGATCATGATACTCGCGTCGGAGTATTGACCATGATTGTAGGTAGGGCTCCTGACATGCTTCAGCTCTATGTTGATTTTGGACTGCACGAGGATGGAAGCGGCCATATTGGATTAAAACACCTTCCGTCCACGAGGCGCTCATCCTTGCCGACCCGGGAGCCAGCCACGAAACTTGATGGAAAGGCTCGAACATCGAGTTGCTTTGAATTATTCCTAGGATTCGCTGCTAGAATATTCAAGGCCGGAAGGTAAGACAAGATTTACTAAACTATGAGATAGTCGTAAAGAAATTTGGGAAGGAGTGTGTTTGACGCAGGCCAGTAAACGGCATCCATCACCATCAGTTCGTTGTATCCCATCTTGAAACATTTCCATATTTGACATAATTGCATACCAGGTACATCATTACCTTACGGAACGTCATTTGATTGCTATCTGACTGACTATCCGCACAGCACAAATTATGACCGACTTTCTGCACAGGAAATATAGTGTTTTCTCGAGAGCAGGACTCTGACATTTGTGCATGAATTCTTCGAGGCTAAGCGTTTTTTCAGAGGTACTATGTTAATCAGTTACATTGCGTTGTCAATGAGTGTATGTCATTTTCTGCTGGCAGATTCGAGGCATTAGACCAGCCACATATATTATATCCATAATTGCTAGTGTCAAACTTATAACGTGATGTGACAACATTAATGTTGTAGCGCCTTGGGGCAAACGCAAGTGGTTATGAATTACTGAATTCACCATGGCAAAGCATCGCGCCGTAATCATAGTCTCCCCTGATATGTAAGAAGATCAATCGAAGACAGTCGTTTCTTCCGTAATCGTGTGAATTGGCAAAGTCGCATCAAGATCAGAAGCCGCGAGACTCCAAAGCCGTCGTTTCTCCTCCTGCAAATCGCCGTGTGCCACAGTCATGGGTCCCACGCCAACGTCCAGAGATGACCTTACCAGCCGTGTCCTCCCACAGATGATTCTTTCTGACAAGTCCAATCCGTTAACCAGACCATATAGCCCCTTGTCAAGCGACCTCACGGTCGCACAAAGGGCGGCGGCAAGGTTCTCTGTCAGAGGCAATGCGATCGGTAGGTATAATCGAGTCAAGTGTACCGATCTTCACATCAAGCAATTCCTCAGTCACTGGAGGCTGCGGCAGCCTTGGGATCGAAGCAGCACGTGCCCTGCTGGAGCATGGCGCGTCGGGTGTGTCACTATTTGACGTCAATCTGGCGCAAGCCCAGGATATTGTTGATAGGTTGCGTTCTGATTTCCCATCGGCAACGATCATTACGAAGAAAGTAGACGTCCGCGATCAGCAGGTCGTTCAAGCAGCCGTCGCCGAGACTGCTGACGAGCTCGGAAGCTTGGATATTCTCCTGTGCTTCGCAGGTGTGGTCGCTTGTAACCACGCCCTTGATATTGCTCTTGAAGAGTGGAAACGTACGCTTGACATCAATACGACAGGAAGCTGGTTGTGTGCCCAGGCAGTGGCAGAGTAAATCAACCCCGTTTAAACTCGAAGCCCACCTCCTGACAGTCCAAAGACAGATGGTCCAACAAGGGACAGGCGGTAGCATCATCTTTACAGCATCCATCTCTGGCCATAGTGTCAATTTTCCCCAGCCACAAGTCTCATACAATGTTTCCAAGGGCGCACTCCTACAGCTAAAGAGTTCTCTTGCAGCCGAGTGGGCTCGGTATGGCATCCGTATCAACAGCATCAGCCCAGGGTATATGGACACAATATTGAATGAAGGTGAAGGACTTGAAGAAGCTAGGAGACTGTGGTACTCAAGAAACCCGATGGGACGCATGGGGGACCCGAGCGAGCTGACAGGTGCTGTGGTGCTCCTCTGCAGTCGTGCGGGGAGGTACATCAATGGGGCTGATATCATTGTGGATGGTATGGCCTGCAACCTAGGTTCGAATGGAAATGCTTAACAAATGTTGTTCAGGCGGTGGTTCTGTTTTTTGATTGCCAGTACGTGACGATGTTCGAAATCAGATTATGGAGCACATAACATGAATCATGGACGTACCGACAACCTGGGAATGTCACTTAAGGGGAAAAGAGCGGGTTGCATAACGATGGTCATTGAAGAATGTGAAATACGAATATGTTTTGAGGTCGTGGCGTTCTGTATCACGGTCATCGTCCGAAGCATAGCAGATTGAAATCAGAAGTCATATGCGCCAGCAAGGTGGCGCTGTGAAATTGAATGGATTCGCTGACACCGTCACTGTGGAGCTGGACCAATTTAATAGTCTCGAAGATCCCTTACCTACCAAAGCTCCACCATAAGAGTTATTATGAAAAGAGAAGGTGGACACATAAAATTGTGACAACCGCCCACACGCGGTGCGGATCCACCTGTACTTGAGTCTCCATAGTCAGTGCTTGATAGAAGGAACGCGGTGCTTTCCACCTGTATTTTATACAGGATAGCGTATTGTGTACATGTTTTGAGGATAATTCGGCCAGGGTCTCGATGGTGCGAAGCCGGTCCAGACTAAATCCAGACTGTTACGAAAAGAGCATAAGATATACCAGAGATAAGGATGAAAGTCTCGAAATGAAGGAACAGAAGGACATGGGAAACGACGCGGCGACCTAAATGGGTTGAAAATCACTGCAAATCAGACGACGAGGAACGAGGCGACACTCATGTGAACAGTTCAATCAGACGTGGCATTTATCACGATTCCTTGTCATGCGCTTTGAATTTCCGCTGCCTGCCCCGTCGGGATTAAGCGTGAGCGCCAACGCGCGCCTGACTTCATGAATTTAAACTCTCGGTCTCCCTTCTTCTTACCAACCACACATTCACCTACTTAAGTAAGTGCCAGCTAGCAGGAATCATATATCTGTGTGTGCTAACAACGTTTTCTCAGCGACATCGCACAGGTCCTATCTGACGGTGATCTTGTCGAGTCAACACACACTCTTTTGAAACCGACGCTCGTTACACTTATATCTCGGCAGTTAGATATCGGACATGTTTACGCCTCCCCCGTCGCCTTTCCCATCCAAAAGTTCTGAATTGTCCGAGCTGGAAATGACTCACGATACCCCCACACACGCTAACCCATCTGCGTTCCCCACACATTCATGCCAATCCAAACAAAAATATACCCTTGCTCTTCGCTGGACGATCATATTGGTACCAATAACTCTCATCGCAATTGGCGTGTCCACGCGATTGTTTATTCATCCAACATCGTTCGATGCCCTTTCGCCAAACTCAATCCACGAGTGGAAAACGTGGTCCAAAAGCTTGACCGATTGGTCACTGCATGAGAGGCACAAACCTACCGAGAACTCCCCATGGCTCGCGATAGTACCTGGCACAAACGCGTCACCTGTCATCAAGAGGAGTACACTTTCGGCCACCCCTGCACCCACCGTTCCAATAAATCCAACTTTGCCAACTCCATTCCCCCAGCCCTATGACACAACTTTGTCGCCAAATTTCTCCACCACATCCTGCTACAATTTCTTCCTTAATATGACACAGACGGATGCTTTGCGATCTTGCCGCCCTTTCTCACTCTTGCTCACTCGCTCTCAAGCATTTATACAGGTGTGTTATTTACTAGATTGCATCCTACATATTGTTCAACATCACTACCTCGGTACTGTCCCACAAGCAGAATCAAGATGATATAAATGCAACGAACATAGATATTTGGGGAACGTGCAACACTGACCTCTCCTCAAGTCAATGTGACCTAAACATGGCGTGGTTTACATCGTCACTACGTTCTTCATGCGCTACCGATTTGAGTAACCAAAACGCTATGGCAGTCAGCGCACTGATAGGTATGATATGAATAATAGTGATGCCGAGTGGGTTTCCTGACAATGAAACACTTCACGCAGGTCTTCAAGCATTTGACTTGATGCGGCAAGCAGCGTGTTCCGTGGATCCTGTGGCAAATGCATATTGTTATGTCGAAGCTGTGGCGAGCTCTGATGCCTCCAGCTATTATTTCTACCAGCTACCCCTCGGACAGGCACTGCCCCAAATCACCAGCGGGGCATGTAACTCTTGCACCAAGAGTCTCATGTCAATGTATTCAGCTGCTCTGAGCAGTGCAAACGCCACGAGCTTGACAGGATTGCAGGCTACGTACGGTGACGCGGCAACCAAACTGAACAATGTGTGTGGATCGCCCTATGCCCAAACTTCAACTGTGGCGTCCTCGTCAGCGCCGCCGAGCGTTGACTTGACCAGCGTGGGAGGGACCTGGGCTGTGCTGTTGGCTGTGGGTGTACTATCGACTTCAATGTCGTCATAGGGTCGATTTGTTACCTGGGACAATTTATTGGCTGATCGTGTTTCATCGATTTTGGGGCTATTTGGTTTTCGTTTTCTTTGCGGATTTACTCACATGGGCGTGCGGGCTACCACTCTGGACTTTGTTCATTCTTACTACGTTCACAGCGTCAATTAGTATCCTACGGTCAACCGCTGTGTATCCAATACCTTTTCGTGTGTACCATTAAATTTGAGATGATGAACCATTTCATTTTTGCGGTGATCGGTTGTATATGCTTTGTGTCACAGCTTTGTTCGGCATCGGATGTTCGTTCCGCTCTTGTAGTGGATCTAGATTCGTCCCTGGCTTCAGGTTATTCCCCCTTGTATTTACAGGCCCGTACAGGCACAGTAGAAACCACGAATGGTGTGAGTTTGCTGAAGGTTCAAGGGTTTTGATTGATTGTTTCTTTTTTGGCACAGCAATCATTGTCATACATACATAGTTCCTGGGACTGGTTTCGGCATCAATCATCATGTTGTTTCTTTGTCATGTCATTAATATTGTGGTTTTAGTGGTTATTCCTCGTCCCGGATCATGTTGTAGGTCGCTGTCGGACTTACTGATCACTGCACCCGCTGCCATTCTGCTCTCGAGCGTTTGTAAGCGTCCCCGCTCAATGCGCTTGCGAGTATGGACACGAAGGGCTGCCATTTGACGCTTGCAAGGTATCTGGACGATGCTCATTGCGCATGCACGCGCTTCGCAGATCATCCATCTCTATTCCTATAAACCAACTGGGCAGCCAATTGGTTGGTTTGGTGAAGAGGGCTCTCAATGGGTAACATTGTGATTAGACCGCAGGATTCCATAGAACTTTACAATTTGTTGCCCCAGGTCATGATGAGCTGCGAGATGTGATGTGTGTGCACAAGCCTTCTCTCCAGTGTTTTTTTGTCAAAACTCTCATCGACTTTTTGATTGTGAACAATCCTTGGTATCAGCAATGCAGAGTCAAATATATGAATGACTTGTTCAATATGTGTGATGGTGATGTGGATACTGGTGTTCCGCGAGTGTTGGAGATATGTCGTAAAGAAGCGAGGCCATCGTTTCACGTCGCTGATGCGCATAATATACTTTTAGCAACCAAAATCGCAGAGGCAAACACAGCCAACACTCACAGTAACAACGATTCAACCTTGGCTGTCGGCAATTTGGTGTGCCTTTCGACGGCCCATCGATGTCGACAGTATCTCAAGATCTCAACAAGAACAACAGGCGAGTGGCAAAGTGTATGTCCCGCTTTGACGGACCCTACAAAGTGGTGTCAACCAACTGTGTATATGTGAAAGGTGCCGGTTCCAGTTGGGTTCCAGAGTGCCCGGAAGGAGCCGGCACCACACGTCCAGCTGAGCGAGAGTGTTCGGCTCTTCGTTGTTTCTTCTCTGTTCCACACGTCCTAGTCGCTCGTACCTACAGTCTCCTCGCTCGTTTCTCGTATTTTCGCCCACCCTCCACTCCCATTATCGTCACAACTATAATCATATTCATGTCATATTGGATTATATCTCGAATACCCGTACATGCATACCTGTCATCGTATCTAGCTATCTTATCGCATATAATGGTCATCCGACAGTCCGCCTGTCGAGTTTGTTTCCCGCCCACCCGGCGGCAATCTCGTCAGCGTCCAACGCTCGGCACGAAGCTGGATATCTCTTACACTCTAGATCTACCTGAACATACTAGCATGAGGATTAGCCGACAACCATCACAAGGGTCCTGGGATGCCCGGAGGACCGTGGTATGGCAGTTGCAGCCTGTGCAGGGAGGGAAACGTTTCCGCGACGACTTTCATCAATTTCCTTTTTGGTTAGACCCACGTGAAATTTTAATCCAGTGCCATTACAACTGCTGTAATCTCGCCTTGGCACACGATACTTAACTTCCATTCCCGAACAACGACAACGGCAAGCTGGTGCTGCTGGTCTTATACGTCCTTCCTTCAATACTTTCCTAGACCCACTGCTACGACTAAGATTCTGTGTAGCACTCTATTGTCACATGTGCACTGCCCCCTTTTCTACCTCCCGTCCATTCCTTGTGACCAAACAGCTATGTTTCACTCCCGTCTGCGGGTGCGTGTTGGGCCATCGATGGATCAGCTTGTTTGTATCACAGACAAAGTGAATAGCGGAAAGGCGCACGACATATCTTCGGAATTGTTCGAAGGCAAGGTCGCTATCAACATCAAAGGTTTCACCAATCCCCGTGGCAAAGAGCATTATGCGGAGTACTTTGACCGAGAAGATAGGAAAGGGATCACGTGGAGTATCCAGGTTCAGGGTGAGTCCAAGCATTGCTGTACTTCGGACATTGTTCGTTTTATCTGATGGCTGTGTGGTAATTATATCAGGCCGGTTCCTACAACCGACTTCAGCAGATGACGTTATGTTTGGAAATACGTTCGACAAACGTTTAAAGCTGCCTTGGGGTGCTGGTGTGGCACTCAAATTCATGAAGTGAGTATGCTGTTGTGTTCGTTCAGAATTGGACGTACACGGCGATAGGAGCTAATAATAATTGTTAGATTCGTCGACCCTACCTTGGAACATGACTTGCTGTCGGACACGAAGCCATGGGCCCTTTCACCACTGATCGCAACAATGCCCCATTTTGTACACGAAAGAATAGACGACATCCGGGCTTCGCCCCTGCTAGAGAACAGACGGTCAGAGTCCTCGTTTCCACCCTCACGATCAATAGGCGAGGATACCTCGCAGTTGCAATTTGCCATTGCGTCCTCGAATTCTTCTAGCTCTACGTATTTGACCCCATACTCGTCCAATTCTACGTTTGTGACACCATCCCCGTCATTGTCAGTTGCCTCATCTTCATCTAACCTCTCGAGTTTTCCGAAGATGCCTGGTTCATTGGGCGTCTCGTCAAATAATTCTCTTACGTTGCCTCTTGAAAAAGCACATATGAAGAAGAATAAGAAGAGGCTATTTGATCGTGCGCTGGATCTACGGACTACAAGCGAACGCAGGTCATACTTTAGCAGTCCTCAACATCGACAAGAGATTGTATTTGGACCTGAGGTATTGTCGTTCATTATTTTAACCATTGTCTACTGACAGCTCCTTTAGGATCTGATCACGACAGATTTTTGCTATGGGTATCTGCAATTCAAACCGACTCTTGCCTTGAGGATTTCAGGTGGCATGACATTCGACCTCATGAAGTACTGGGATAGACATCCTGTCAGGTTTGTTTGTTGCAAACGGAGAAAGCCAGAAGACGGAGAACGCAGTGACGGGCAGCCCACGGGTGACTTATATTGGATTGTCTCGATAGAAACTGCAGATGAAAGCGATATACATCAGGAAGATTCAACGCCAGGACAGGGTATATAGACGGGTATTTCTAAATCATATTCACAACTTGTATTATTGAGCAATAGACACAACGGACAAATTTTCTACTATCATATGGTTAGGGGTAGTTTTCCCTTAGTGGGAGCGTTTACATCATGTGGCCGTGCCACTTTGCCTGCTCCCGAGTCGGCAGCTAGCAGCATAACGTCGAACCATAATATTGTCAGTACACCAAGATAATGATTCAGATATGCCGTGCGGAAGACGGCGAATCATATCAGGTATGTTGCACCAGAGTCTTCGGTGGCATAGACCCGCAACACTTACGTCAAACAACAGGTCAATGCTAACTTACGAGACATTGAGAGGCAAGTCTATGCCCAAGCCCAGTTTTACACCGCACTAACAGTTGTTTTACAGGCGAGGAAGCCTAGAGGCATTCTTGAATCAGGAGACGGGCGTTGATCAGGACGCTATCTTGGCTTACCTTTCCGATGGCACGCGCTTGCGTACCGACAATGTTCGTGAGCTAGTGGGTGCACATGACCAGGCAAGTCGTATTCTCACTGCAAACACGGAAAACATTAACTCCATGAACAGACTATCTATGTTTTCAACAAGTATTATTTGGATTTTGACTTAAACGACGTGCTTCACGAGCTAAGGGTCAACCCACCACTACAACCTCCGATTGAAGGTGCGTGGCTCGAGCCATACTTGAAATTTTGACGTCAGCAAAGTATCACAGATTCAATCTCTACAACTCCTCCATATCGACCTCCACAACTCGCCGCATCTTACATTCGCACAGCACACACGCACCTCGAACACATCGTCCATACCGTAGCCACCCTTCATCGTCAACATCAAGCAGTCCGAATTGCATCCAGTAGCCTCGAACTGAACGTTCTCGCTATAGCTGACGTCTTCGATGGCATCGCTATGACGGCCCGTAAGGACCTCGAACGTCAGGCTGCGCTCCTTGCTGGTCTGGATGCGGATTTGGAAATTATAAGCCGCGTGAAGATACATATCGAATTTTTGTCGCCTGCTGTGAGAACCGCGATTGAGAACGGAGAGCGACCGAGGACGCTGGGTGATTATGTATCGAATGTGAAGATGAAACAGGTCGCTGACGCGTGTGCGAGGACGCATGGTACGTAATCGAAAACAAGTTGGGATGACATTCTTATGTTGTCGGTTTAGAGGACCTTCGAGCACAGTTCCAAGACGCTGAGAAGTCAGCGGCCAGATTAACGAACGGAACTGATTCTGTACGCGCAATAGTAATGAATACGCAGTTGGTGTTCCTTATCCTATGATAGTCTGCCTATCTCACTCGTTCATAGAATTCTAGAGAGTGCGGACGCCTCGGGCCGTCGGGCGCAGGAGATTCTTGAAAAGGCCTCGGACATTACAGCAGCTCTTGAGAGTCCTGCCATGGATTCAAATAGCCTTCTTCGTGGTATGTCCGATTCATAGATGCATTAACAAGGTAATCATGTTTCAGAGCTGAAACATCTTGATGGTGTACTACGAAACGAAGTACAAGCTGTTACCGAAGCCAAGGTTTGTCTTCAAGGTCGCTGAAAGTGCTCTTACTGATGCTTTGTAGAACGCATATACCGAGCAATGTATCGGTGTCCTTCGGCAAATCAGTGCCTTGAATATCGACATTGTGCAGCTGCCAACGATTTATCTAACCTGCAAGGCAAATTCAGGGCTAAGAACAGCTTTTCTCACATACAAAGACTTCATAATATGCTGTATGCATATGGTGCCACTGTCGTTGAGATCGTGCGACGCAAGGAATTTGGTCAGTCAACGCAGTATTGCGTGACCCCATGTCTGATCTCTTAAATGCAGCTCACTTTTTCTATCAGCGCGCACAAAGCATTTTGGAAGTGATGGCCAAGCTGTCGTAAGTCCATGAAAGTTGTGATACTATGTTACAACTCCTGACGAGTCTGTAGTGCAAGCGAGCGGAAGCGCCGACAGGTATATAGAGGGGAAGTGCATGGTCAACTTCCCTTCGATACAAAAGGAATGGATGATGTTGTACCGACCATCGACTTTTCTCCTTCCGGTAGCAAAGAGCCGTCGTATTCGCTCAAACGAGATGACATTGATGGTATTGTTTTGTCCTCTAGCAAATCGGCCAAACTCATAGTGAAATACCAGTGTTGCTTCAAGTCCTGGGTGATCTGGAGTCCTGGGCGCGGTCAAGTTCAGACCCTGTGGCGATGGGTTCAATACAGGAAGCAAGAAGTGCAGTGGATAAGCTCATAACCAAGATGGATAATCTGGAAGCTGGGTTCGACCGTATCGCTGAGCGTTCTTGTGAGTAAAAACCAATCGCCAGACACGTCTAGCTAACTTCGTGCAAGTACTCTCGGCATCACGACTGTCCTCGTCACGCAGAAGGCGTAAGTCAATATTTCAATATTTTTGTTCTAATATGGGTACTCACGTAAGTCACAGTAACAGAAGCGGATGAACATGCATTTCAAGAACTGGCTGAGCAACTACGCGAAATGCAAGAATCCCAGGCAAACCAAGAAAAGTCGATGCAACAAGAGCGGACGTCCTTTCAGGCTGAAATACATCGACTCCATAACGATCTTCAAACCACTGAACTCACATCTCACTCCGAGCGGGAACGTGCGGATATACTGGAGCGTGAGCTGCACCAAGCCAAAGCGCAGATTGAAAGCGAGGTTACACCCCGACGTATACTGGAGCGCCGTAATTTGGAGTTAGCCCAAGACCTCGAGAAAGAGCGACAGAATCGCGTTCTAGCACTCGTTGATGCAACCGAACAGACACGTGCAGTTGAAGTAATGAGGCAGGAGCTATCGCAGGTCCGTTCGCAAGCGGAGGAAGTGAAAGCTTTGGAGGCTAGGAATGCGTCGAAAATTGCTCAGCTGGTCGAGGAACAAGGAACGACTCTGCGGAACCTGGAGGCAGCACGTTCCAGAGGGGAAAATTTGGAGACCCAGATCCAAACCGCTCGCTCTGAATGCGAGGGGTTGAACAGAGCACTGAAGAACACCAACCTGGAGAAAGATAGATTACTTCGGGTACAGGCCAACGAGCACGATCGCATTATGCGGGATCACATCGCCGAAGCTGATGGCGACAGGGCTGTTCTTGAACACCAATTCTCGGAGCTCAGAGCACAGCTTGAAGATACTGAACGGCGACTGAAGGAGGCACACTCACAAACCGAGTTAACCAACGCAGATGCCATCGGTCTGCGTGAGGAGCTTCAGCGGGTCGAGCATGAGCTTCGGGAGGCAAGGCACATAGAGAGAATCCTCCGAGATGACTTGACAGCTGGACGGTCCTCCCAGTCTGACTACGAACATCGATTGGAAAATAGCGGCCGTCTGGTTGCTCAGATGCTTGACGTCGCAATTGCTTTCCGAAATTCTCATTGCAAAGCGCTTTCTCTCGTGCATAATCTCACTAGTCACCCCAGCTCATCGAAGCACGCACAGTCCCTTGCCGATTCTACATTCACATCCACTCAACGCCATGGACAGAGTGCTGGTGCGCAAGCCGATGAGCCCCCTCCAATTGATCCATCAGATCTTCTGGGTGCCCTGGAATCACTACGTGCCTTCGACCATGATCATTTCTTGGAAGCGGTGGGCAGAGCAGGTTCCATCATTCGGAAGTGGCAGAAGCAATGCAAGGAATATCGAGAACGCGCGAAGGGCAAGATCTCTTTCCGGAATTTTGCCAAAGGGGATTTAGCACTGTTCCTACCAACCCGGAATTCTATTTCAAAACCTTGGGCGGCGTTTAATGGTATGTATCTCTGTTACTATGATGATGAAACTTCTCCCGACGTTGTTTTTGATATCTAGTTTCATTCCCACATTACTTCCTTTTGGCTACTGGCCACCTCGGCGAGCAGCTGAAAACAAGGGAATGGATAGTGGCAAGGATAACATCCATTACCGAACGTATTGTCGATAGTAAGGTGCGTGCGGCATGGTTCATACTGTCGTATTTGTCCTCAACGCCCGACCAGGACCCCTCCAGTAATCCATATGGTTTAGGCGACGGCGTAAAGTACTATATGTTGGAAGTGGAAGACTGGACTCAAGCAGGTCAAATGAATAAGCGGAGACCTGCTGGCAGAAAGGTTTCGGCGTTATCGGATCCTGAAACAGACCGCAAGACAAGCTCAATTCCTCCTGAGCCTTCTCCTAGCCCGCCACCAGCGCCTCCCCAGTCTGACTTTGAGAGCGTTTTCAGTGTTACACAACCTCCCACATCATCATCCTTCCCCGTCAGGGCAAGAGCGAACTCCACGCCTGTTGCTGGTCCATCTTCATTGTCTCGTCTGCTTGCCCAAGCCCCTCCTGAGAACTCGATAGAAATAAGTCCATTGTCGCGGGATGTTTCTCCCCCTACTACCCCTTTGCCACCACCTCCACCTCCTTCGCCGCCGACACAAGTTGATTTGAATGCGCAACAGCCTGCCTCATTAACTCATGCTCCATACATACCATCTCCACTGCGTCCAGGTTCGCGTGCATCACGTGGCTCCTCGTCCTCTAGGTTCTCTGCGGTGCGGCTTCCGCCACTTGCATCTGTCTCTGCTTCCCCCACTTCCGTGAAAGCAGTGGCTACTACTGCTCTGACAGAACATGATTTATCGTCAATATCTCCTCCACACGAATATTCATCCATCAAAGGACCGCCGTCTCCACAAGGCTCGTTGTCCGAAGGGATGACCAGTATCTTTCTCAACAGACGCCGGACTACGTCACACCATGTCCCTCGGTCGTCTCCATTGGCGTCTAGCAATTTCTCGAGCCCACCATCCGCTACTAGCGCACTTGCTAGCTTAGCCAGCAATTTCGTGCCTTTCGGGAGAAGAAAGAAGGTCGATATGCCTGCTCCCATCATTGAGGGGCATGTACGCGATCAAGCCGGGGGTAGTGAGGTGTCAGCTAGTGATATGCTGAGACGGTTTTAGATCCCACCTCATAGATAGCTCTGGCCGAAATGTACGGGGTTGGTCCACGATCACTGTTCGCCCTTGATCGTAGCCCTCAGGGCATCATGTGATCGGATCGACTTTCAACTCATTTTACTAAGGATCTCTCCGCGAAAGCCAGAGATTCAGCCTTTTAAGTACTCAAGTGTACTACGGACCGTAGCAATACCGCCAATATGGCCATCATTTGACTCTGGAGTCTTGACCATGTTGTTTGGGAATGATTACATTAATTTTGTTGCGACTCGGTCGGGACTCGGCGACCTCCATTTATCCACGCATTTATGATATTATAAAAGTTTCTTGCGCCTATCTCTTCAGGTGAAATTCCAATTCTTATATGTAGCCTAACATTTTTACACGCAGTTTTGACTCACGAAAGACTGAAGGAGATGAAGAACTCACGACCGTCAACCGGGGAAAAATTTGGTCTGTCCTGTCCGGATCCAGGATCATGCATCATGATGCATTGATGTTTGGCAACTCCGAGTCTGTTCGTCTTACTTATGCCGCCTACTACGTGGAACGATGCGACTCGCTTGCTGAAGTACTAGGAGATCCTTCCGCTTGACAGCCCCCTTTCCGACAGACGCTGCCTGATTTTAGTCGAATCAAGGCACTGGTTTTCAAGTTAGAATGTGCTAAAAAAGCTGTCTGCGGCCTACTTCCAGGGAAAGATGTATTGTGGGGTAACTTGAACATGCGGTTCGAGTCTACTGATCATCATTAGCGCTGGGAATAGTATCAACCCATTCCATTTCTGGCTGTTACCAATGATGGCATGTTCCGCGAATGCATGGGTAATGATCGTTAACTTGTCAAGCTCACCGTCAAAGTTTTTCCGTCTTGATCTATGATGGTTCATTGGAAGTACACTCGCGGACCATGGGTAGCGGGGTACCTCAGGAGAATTATCAACTGCCGAACTTTATCCGGTCCGCTGGTTTGAAGTGTGTGCATAAAACCTAGCTTCCCTGAATGATCGTTCGTAACCTTTCTCTTCTTGACCATCTCACTCTAGAGATCAATCATGGGTGGGGTTACTGCTGTCAGCGGAAAAGACACTTCATTTGCGCATCTCATCGATGAGCGGAGGAAGTGGTACAACAACAGGCGGTAAGCAAACACTGCTGAATGCTTCTCGTTCTGATCGATGTAAATGCATCATAGAATCATCGCTCTCAACGCCTGGATTGTCCTTCTGTACGTTTCTTAGTCCGTTTTGTCACTCCTTTGTTAAACCTCTTTTCTTAGCCTCATCACTTCCTCGACGAATGGGTACGACGGCAGTATGATGAATGGGCTGCAGTCCCTTCCTCAGTGGGAGTCCGCCTTTGGCTATCCATCTGGCGGTATGCTAGGTCTCTTGAACGCTATTCAGGTGAGTTTCTTTTGTACCTACGTTGATGATCTTTATTGATAATGGACCACGCAGAATATTGGTGGCCTAGCGGGCTATCCATTTGCCCCTTACCTATCAGACGGTATAGGACGTCGTAAGACGGTGTTCTTCGGTGCAACAATTATGTGCATTGCTACTGCCATACAGACTGCCTCTCAGTCCGTGGGCATGTTCATTGGTGCTCGATTCCTTATCGGTTTTGGTCTTACTTTTGCCGGTCGGTACACAGTCCCCTTGTGTATAAGTAATTGATTAACTGACACGCTATGTATAGCTAATGCCGCACCAATGTTGGTCACTGAGGTTTCGTATCCCACGTACCGTGCTCCCCTGACATCTCTCTACAACTCCCTTTGGTATTCTGGTTCTATCATGTAAGTTTGATCATGTGAAGCCGCTCATCGGATCTTAGGCGCTGATGAGATTATTGATATCAGCGCTGCCTGGACGACTTATGGCACGTTCAAGATTAACAGCACATGGGCATGGCGTCTGCCTTCTCTTCTTCAGGGTATTCCATCCATCCTGCAGTTCTTTCTTGTGCTGTTTGCTCCTGAATCACCCCGTTGGTTGATCAGAAATGGTCGTGAGGCCGAGGCTCTCAAGACCCTCGCCTATTATCATGCTGATGGTAATGAGTGAGTCGCATTATTTTGACCGCATTTTCATCACCTGAAGTATTTTTCTCAGGCAGGATCCTTTGGTTGTGTACGAGTTCGAGGAGATCAAAGCTGCCATTGAATATGACCGTAGTAGTCAGTCTCGTTTTACTTGCTGCACTGCACTTTCTCACACGAACTCTCCTAGCTGCCACCAATGTCGGTTGGAAGGTACTTATTGCCACTCCTGGCAATAGGAAGCGCATGCGCATTATCGTCGCTCTTGCCTTCTTCTCTCAGTGGTCTGGAAACGGTCTTGTTTCATACTACCTCACAAAGGTCTTCGACCAGATTGGTATCACAGGTTCAAGCACTCAGCTGCTTATCAACGGTATCTTGCAAATTTGGAACTTAGGATGGGCTGTCTTCGCCTCTTTCATGGTCAATAGACTCGGTCGTCGCTTTTTGTTCTTGCTTTCAGCAGCTTTGATGACACTCTTCTACATGGCACAAGCTATTTGCTTCGCTGAGTACGCTGAGCATGGTAGCCCCGCCGCCGGACACGCTGTCATCGCCTTCATCTTCCTCTTCTATGCGGCATACGATGTGGCGTTTACGCCTCTCATTGTCTCCTACACCGTGGAAATTTTGCCTTACAGCATTCGTGCAAAGGGCTTCAACGTCTTCAACTTCGTCGTCTCTCTTGCGCTCATTTTCAACCAATATGTGAACCCGATCGCACTGGACGCCTTATCGTGGAAATACTACGTAAGTATTTGTAGACGCTGCCTTGCTCTAAATTTTTTTTCTCAACGGTCATGCCTAGCTCGTATACGTCTGCTGGCTCGCTGTCGAATTCGTCTTCCTGTGGTTCTTCCTCATCGAGACTAAGAACAGGACTCTTGAAGAAACTGCAGCCCTCTTTGACGGTGAAGATGTACTGGAACAGATTGCCAACAAGGCAGAGGGTCAACACGAGGTGTACGAAGACGGTTCATTGGAGAAAAAATCTTTCACCGCGGGCAACGAGGCGCCTAGTGTTTAATTTCCCTGAGCGTATTTCGGATGATGCCGTCTCCATGTTCGAAGGGTATTAATTCCTTTACGTATAACCTTATGCAGAACGTGGCACCGCGCAGCCTTCTACGCATGTACAACAAATATAACTTTGGCTCATTTTCAGTCTGTCTGTTTAAGTTGTGCCAATGAATTCATATGTGGCGTAACACCATATGATATGTTTCACCACTTGTAACTATAAGTTCCAGTCCTCGGCTGCTCGAGGCTCAATTTAAAAATACTCTTCCCCGCGTGTTCCCCGCAGTCACTAGCATATGGACACGCATCAATATCGGAGTGACCTAGGTCGAGTTCACATGGAGGCCTTGGAAAGCCGCTCAACGCCGCGCACGTCAGAATGAGTATGTACAGGATTTTATAATATACGACAAACGTTTACTGTGACAAAAAGAAAGAAAGAAAACAAATACGGAATATTTGGCAGTTGCGGTGAAGCATTAGGAGCACAAGACAAAATGAGCTATTGTGCATAAAAAACCTATAGCACATGAAGGCCAATACGGAACATGATCGACAGAATATGGACAAGAAGGGCACCGTGGGTGGGTTAGTCCAATGAGTGAATAGATATGTAAGAATTGTAGCATGGCGGGGTGTACTTGCAATGAATTTTCCCTCCACAGGCAACCCAGAAAACGTCCGTATCTCGATGCAGCTCGCGCATTCTCAGCCATCTTGTTACCATCGGTGAATCAGCCCAATGATCACCTTCACAGCATGCCTTGTCGCCAATGTAAACCGCACAATTACAACCAGCAATGAACAATACAGAATGATAAGAGGGAATGTCGATGACTGAAGAATGAGTGAAGGCATGGCTGGCCCTACTCGACTCAGCCCATCTTGCTATCCTTCTTCTTCTGCTTACGCGGTGGCGTTACTGGTCGACCCATGTTCATCCCCCCGTATGGATACTTAGCCTTCTTCTCAGCAGGCTTCAGGATCTGAAAATCAAAAGTCAAACTCAATCAAAGAACATGCAGGGTAGCTCGTATCGTACCTGGAAGGAACATAATAGGGTTTCGTCTACACTCATCATCGCGCCTGCGTTATCGAACTCTCCGCAGTAATTAGGCGCTGAGAATAACGTGACCAAATGCCGCTTTGCAAAAAATTCATAACCATCCTCAACGACCTAATTCCACGGCGTCAGTGAGCGATACAGCACTTGGGGCCCGTACGGACGCTGCCCGTAAAGCGCAGCATACCTGATGAGCTCTACAGATAAGATCCATGTCATGTTTCTGCAAAAATCGGGACACCACGTCGGGACCAAATGTGAAGGATACTCCTCGATCATTCTCCGACCACCCAGTGATATCCTTGTCGGGATCTGACCATAGTAGGTCACATAGCAAACCTTGGTCGGGTAAGACACTCATATTCAAGCAAGATGCACAGCACACCTACCTGTGTCAGGAACATCCGTAGGTCTCATCACTCTCCGTATTTGCTCCATGGATTGAAGATCAGGGCTGAGACCACCGTGCATTGTAAAGATCTTTTCGTCGATGATAGCGGCTATAGGAAGACAATTAAAGCAATCCGTAAACGTCTTCCACAGTTTGATATTGTAGCGCCGTTTGCCTGTCAGTGCCATCAGAGCCTCATCATGAAGAATTGCAGCACAACTCACATTCATCATAGAAGCCATAGATTCGGTTTATACTTGCACACTCATGGTTGCCCCGGAGAATGAAAAAGTTTTCGGGGTACTTGATCTTGTAGGCGAGGAGGAGACAGATGGTCTCGAGAGACTGCTTCCCCCGATCGACGTAGTCGCCGAGGAAAAGATAGTTCGCTTCTGGTGGGAACCCGCCATACTCGAAAAGTCGGAGTAGGTCATAATATTGACCGTGGATGTCACCTAGCCGAAGGTGGACCCGAATGAGTCATCCCGATAAACCACAAGAACCGAGCGATACTCACCACAAATCTTTATGGGGGCCTCCAATTCAAGCAGTATCGGTTGATTTATAAATATCTCGCGTGCTTTTGTGCAGAGATATTTGATCTCGTATTCTTGTAGCTGGACAGGTTTGCCTGGGCGGTTGCCTCGCACTGGATGTAAAAGTTCGGTTAACACCTGCTTTGTAACATATTACGGGCGGTCCATTCTAGAAATGCAGGGAGGCTATGAGCGCTTCTGTGTGCATGTGCACCCCATCTTTTTTTCCGAGGTTGCTTGCTGTGGTGGTCACGCGGCCCCACATTTCACCCATGCCTGTGAATGGGCACCACGTTGCACTAGCCCGCCTCAGACGCTGACCGGTTATGTTCCTTCCTTCCACCGCCCTGCCCCTCAAGGTCCGAAATCTGCTCTCCAAGGAGCCTACGAGTCAGAGCACGAGCCACTCACCCTCCAACAAGCGGTCAATAACCGAGTCCAGATCGATCTCCGTCTGCGAATCTGCCATGACTGGTCTAACTGAATGTACTCAGTACGTTGGACTTGACGTGAAGGATGATGGTATGAGGAGAAAAAACGGGCGAAATAACCGCGAGAAGGAAGATCGTTTTCGGCGCTGTAGAGTTGGTTTTTAAAGCGTTTTTTGAACGGCTTGTGAGATTTGGAGCGGGATAGTCGTTGAGCTGACGATGGCTGCCAGAACCAGGTAAAGAAAAGATAAAATGAGAATATCGATGAGGGAAAACACCAAGGATCCAGATAACAAGCAACCTGGATGAGCAGATCGGTGTCAAGGCAAATACCGAACCTCGGCTCAAAACGGGAACAATCCGTGTGAACTTTCTCTATCAACAAGAAAAAAAGAGTGCGACAGTACAATTGCAGCAAGGGATACTATCAATACAACCTATCCAAAGAGTGCCATAGTGTACCACAAGTACTATACAACAGATACGAACATAAGAAACACACAAACGAGGCACGTTACAGCACAACTGCAGGGATTGCTACTCCATTACCAGCTTGAGTGTTCTCATCTGCTGGTCGTCGATTCCTTCTCCGTCGTCGCCTGTATATACATTTGAGAAACATACAATACCGAGCAAAAAAAACACACCTCGGGAACATCGGCCCTTTTGGCATGACACGATGATCAAGGTCAAGTGCGATGTTTGTGCCCGCATGTAAAGCCTGCATGCACGATCAACATTATTAAACCGCCTCACTCGTACATCATGATAGGACCCACCTCTATCCACTCCACAACGGAAGGTACATCTGCTGCCTGCAAGAGAAACTGCTCCCCTTCTAATCGTACCCTTATCACGTTCTTCCGCTTAAAGTAATCATTCCCGAGGCCGCTCTCCGCGTGCTGGAGGGTATATGCACGGATCAAATCGCCTTTCCCAGGCTTTTGTATTTCGCTACTCCGCAATTGCATCCTCGATGAAAGGAAGCTCAGGCGAGACGGAGCTCGTGGTGTCAGAGGCGATGTCCTTTGTGAAGCCGTCTCCTGTGAAGCTGAACTAGACACAGAATTACGACGGCTGTTCGGCTCAGTCACCGGGAGCAGCTCCATGCCCCCATTTGTCCCAGGAGATACCATACCCCTTCCTCGCGATTGCGGCCCGCTCGATGAACCATTGTGCCGCCACGGGGTCAGGAAGCTGGCACCGGACAGCCTCCTATTGACACGCAACATCGAAGGCGTCGTGGATTGATTCGTAGCTCTTGATGATTGCGATTCGCTCCTCGCCCTGTGCGGTGTGGGAGGGGGTGAACTCGACGAGGATGCAACCGGTTGATCGACCGCTATTTTCGAAGGAGGCGTCGGGCTCTCCTCCCCTCTTTTCGACGAGGGCGCTGGGCTTTCGTTCGCTTTCCGCACCGGCGCATGATATCCGCTACTTAGGTCACCCACGCCGACACGTCTCTCCCACCACTCGCCAATGATGCCCGCCCCGCTCGCGCCGGGAGGACACTTGTACACACGGAGTACTGTCCCTTCGAGCTCGCAGAACACACGTCTCCATTTCCTGTCCTTTGCCTGAACACCAGGCAAGCTGAACTCCATTTTGAGCGGCATAATAGCGCTGAGATACAGCGAATTGCTATATGGCGGTAACCGCTCGCGACCTTCATCCTCATGGTATTGGAATTGGAATGGAGGTGCACTCTTCGGCGGGCGCGGGTCGAAGGAAGGATACGGAGGTGGGTCCGACGTGGAGGTGAAAGTAGGCATGGACGTGCGTCGCATAAGCCTTCCCATTACATTGTCCGTGTTATCGCTCTCAACGGATTCGACGGTGTGACCAGACACGGAAGGTACATTCGAATGCACTGTGTCGCGTGACTTTTTGCTCAAGTCTCTCCGGGACACACTCAGGTCAATCATACTGCGAGATGGCGCGCGATACAGACTTGGCGGGCGGCTGACCTCCAGGGAAGGTTGTGCGCGATAAAGCGAAGGCGTAGGCGTTATTCGCCGCCGAACATTAATAGACTCTCCGAGAGATGGTTTCTGAGAGAAAGGTTTAGCTGTAGAGACGTCCGGCCTCGGAGTCAAGTCCGGGAGCTTCCCATATGCCTTGGACGAGAAATAATCAACAGCATTGTGGGGAGCGGGGATAGACCCCCCTGCTGAAGACGGCGAGGCAAAAGGTCGAGAAAAATGACCAGCGACTGGGGGAGCCAAGTCGGCAATTTGGGTTTGAAACTCTTGCAGCGGAGAATGAGATAAAGAATGGCCTGTACCCAAACTCGACATTTCCTCCCCATCACCGTCTTCGTCACTCTGGTGCTCCAAGTCTTCATTTATCAATCCCTCGTCTCCATAACCCTCGTCGTCCTCCACGTCCTCATCGTCCTCATATTCGATAGCAGAGTCTGGCTCTGGATCGATGTCAGGTCGTCCATGAACAGTTAATGATGGCATATGCTGGAGACGGATAGCTGGCCGCACAGCGGTCTCTGTAGCAGGAGTAGGCACAGGCAAAGTCGGAAGATTCAAGATTGGCATACGATGCCTTGAGATAATAGAAGGAGATAGACGTAGGCCACGCTCAGTGGCAACGCGGAATGGAGGCGGTAGGGCCGTCGTCGGCTGTGTCCCTGTTGAGTGTTGACCCAGAATACTGGACGAGGGTAAAGATTGTGTAGCAGGTGAAACCAAGATAGCAGATGAGAAAGGTATTTGAGCAGGTTCTGGTTCTACAGATGAGTTGGTCATGTCTATGTTCACGATTGATTCGTTAGAAGGAGCGGGTTCCTTCGTTTGCCGTGGAGTTTGTGATCCTTCCAAGTGCGGTATCTCCGAGTCGTCTGGTACAGGAGATGCATCTCGTAAGACTATGATATCTGGCACGTTGCTCGGGGTCGTTGAGTGTAATAAGACATCATGTGATGCACGTGTAAGGCAGTCCCTTGACGCGCCAGACCACAAAAAGAATGGTGCTGGAGCGAGGACATTTTTCCCATCACTGCTAGACTGATCAGAAGCATTCTTCGAGACCTTTATCTCTCGTAAAAACAATGGGGCGGGACCATGCCCCGCGAACACCGGGCTCACAGGGGATTGTGTGAGACCGTCCCAAGCTGAGAAACGCCTTGATTGGCGGGTGGGGCTATTGCTAGACGATGAATCATCCGTGTCTGTGGGGCTGAAAGCATCATCTAGTTGTAAGCCTGTAAGGCTAGGAGTGGATATATCTGGCTTGCGGGGAACGTCAGGAGAGGGTATGTGTGAGCGGTCGTTTGGGACGGATGGAACGAGTCGGATAGACATGTTATCTTTTGAGCGGCTACCTCCCAAGCTCAAACGCGAGTTCAGTTTCTTGAGAAGCTGTGCTGCACGAGCCTGAAACACGACGGCCTGATTCATATCTGAACCGACAGGAGACAAAGGTGAGATCATACCTGGAACGGTATTGCAGGTTGCAGACGAGGCTTGTCCATCGTGAGGATGTGAGAGGCTTGGAGATAGTGGGCGCTCCTTATTTCAATGCGGTGGCAGGTGTCGGACCTGGCAGGACAGGGTTGTCTAGAATTAAGCAACGAATATTAAGCAACGGATCGAGTTTGGATAGCTGTCAGATCCTGATTATACTTCTGTGAGTGTTGCGATAGCAGTCAACCAGAAAGCAAATCATCGAGACTTACACAAAACTAGTTGGTGCGAGGTCAAGTGGAAAGAATTATAAAGCATGGGTACTAGTAGCACTACATAGTACCAGTCTAGCTAGTAGTGTGTGACTGACACGGCAATGATTCGGCTCGTATTTCTAAACTTATAACAGACATGACATAGATGCTCCAACTTGTCATTAATTGCCATACTTTCGGGAGTAGTTGACCTTCTAAAGAGCGATCGGGCGCCTCATGTTCTATCTCGTCCTCACTCATCACTTTGTAGTGCTTTTATCGACCTAAAGCACCATCATGGAATGTAACGGGGGTATACCACATCAACTTTCGAATTCCACACCGAGTCACTTGATCACCGTTCACCTCGGCCCACACATACTCCTTTCATTACAATTCCGGCCCCAGCCCGAGATAAGCCCGAGATCCGTGGTTATTAGGTGCGGGAACACGCCACCATTGTCACCCCACAAGTATGTTGCCGCCGTCGACACTCGCACACTACGTAAACAAAACCTTGTGAAGACGATCAGCAAAAAACACAGTAGTCAAACTTGCGTACCTCAGCGCATGGATTTGGAGGGTGCCAACCCCCGGGGCACGAGGAATATGGCGTCCGGAAGCCTATAAGTCCTCGAGGAGTTCTCAGGACGGGCTGGTCGTGATTTCTGTATGAATCGGGAATTGCCCACGGGATATTTTGAGATGCTGTCAATGCCGAGTCCTGGGAAGCTGACTACCAAGCGATTAGACTGTAACGGGAAATTATCATGTCACCGAATGACGACCGTGTACCATGGCGAGATTGCCATCATAGAGTTGGACTTTCATTTACTTGGCCCACATTTGCCATCGAGAGTTTTGCCGGCAGTCTTCGACCCATTCAAAATGAGCCCGAACCAATTCCCTGAAGTAGATTATAATCGTGCGATGAACGTCGCTGAGTCTAGCGAGCGACCAATCATGATAGCTTCAGACAGAAAAAGAATCAAAATGTAGCACTCGCGAGAATCAAAGGCTATATAAAAGGTTGACTGATGATTTGACGAACCGTCTCTTGGGAGAACAATCAATTGCAGTACGTTTGGACATGTCTTAGGCCGCGGCGACAGGTAGGCCAGCGGCAGGAAATGTTGGTGTGAAGTTCAGGAATACACCCGACACAATTTCAAGCTTGACGGTGAACTTGGCGGTCACAGCATCATGAGATGGCAGCTGTGCAAGTTCTTGGCAAAGAATATGATGAAGGTCAAAAGATTATGGGCTATATATGTAATGACTTACAATGTAATACTGTCATAGCCAGCGCTACAGCAAGCAAGTAGTATTAATGCTGATGATAAGTACTGGAAATCTAACCGGGTCAGCGCCGAACTAATAAGTAGTCACGTGAACAGAAAATGGACCGATACTGCGCTAGAAGCTCGTGCGAGTTGAACCTACAAAAATTCAGGCTTCTTTCAAGTTCGTCCAAGTCGGTTGCTCAGTGTTTATTGTCCGTTCCTTCCATAACTTTCATTCTAACTCACCTCCAAGTAAGTCTTAACACCTTCTGTTCTTGTCGCCAAGGCTCGTTTCCTTAAGGAAGTGTTCGATATTCATCCAATTTTTTCTTGCAGACAACATGACTTCAACTCAGTATTCCGACGGACGTCAAGAGAAGCGTGTTGAGAACTATACCAAATTCTGGCAAAAGGACTTTGGTAAGGAGGGTGAAACGGACAATCAAAACCGTGTTGAGAGCTACACCGACGTTGTAAACGGTATTACCTCACAATTTTTTGTTATGAATGGCTTTTAGTAACAGAAAACACAGGCTACTACGATGGTGCAACGGAGCTGTACGAGTATGGCTGGGCACAGTCCTTCCACTTCTCGCGGTTCTACAAAGGCGAGGCTTTCGTAGCCTCTTTGGCCCGTCATGAGCACTACCTCTCAGCACAAATGGGACTTCGCTCTGGCATGCGAGTACTGGACGTCGGGTGCGGCGTCGGTGGTCCTGCACGCGAGATTGCACGCTTCGCTGACGTTAATATCGTCGGCTTGAACAACAACGATTTCCAAATTCAGCGTGCTCGGAAGTACACTAAGAAGGCTGGCCTTGAAAACCAAGTGAGCTTCGCCAAGGGTGATTTCATGAAACTGTCGGAACAGTTCGGAGAGAACTCGTTCGATGCTGGTGGGTGTTTTTGCAGGCTTTCAGAAATCATTGAATCCTAACGGCGTTAATGTTAGTGTACGCAATTGAAGCCACTGTCCATGCACCCACATGGGAGGGTGTGTATGGTGAAATTATGAAGGTTCTGAAGCCTGGAGGAGTGGTATGATTAGCTTTTGACTCCGAGTTTCAATATATTGACATCAGTTTGTAGTTCGGTGTCTATGAATGGTGCATGACTGACACGTGGGATGCATCCATTCCTGCACACAAGGAACTTGCGCATGCCATCGAGTTTGGCAATGGTATCCCAGAAATGCGTCCCTTGAAGCAAGCCCGCGAAGCTATGGTCAAGGTTGGCTTCTCCATTGAGCATGAAGAGGATCTCGCCGAACGCCCTGATGAAGTTCCATGGTATTACCCACTGGAAGGCGATATATGGAAGGCCCAGACTGCTTGGGATTGCTTCACTGTTTGGCGGATGAGCTGGAGTGGAAAGCTCGTTTCACACACCGCAATCAAGTTCATGGAGATACTTGGTCTTCTGCCCAAGGGCACATATGATGTTGGCGAATCCCTCAAGGTCGCTGCCGATGCACTTGTGAAGGGTGGCCAGACAAAAGTGAGTTGAAGCACGCTTTTGTAAATGTCTAGCGAAGGCTCATGATTTGTTTGAAGCTGTTCACGCCCATGTATCTCGCAATTTGCCGCAAGCCTGCATTGTCTGAAAGCTAGACTGGATACCCATGACACCACATATACGTATATACCCCCGCCGCCCCGCCACTAATATCCTAGAAAAATTGCATAACTTTATGGCAATGCGTTGAGCACGATCTTGAGTTGGAACCTTGGGTGATCGATTGATAAATGATTCAGTCTATTCGGATCTACGCTAACGATATTGGGAATGATCTGGCGAAGAAAGATGAGAACTTCATCAGAGCGAACCTAGACTGGTGAGTAACACGTACACATCAACAAGCGAACCTTATTATTTTTATGAGAGCCCTGGCGGTATGATGTGACTTATGATAAGATGACCAGCCATCCCAGGACGAGCAAACCTAGATTACCCGAGGCATATACTGACGGACAGCTCATCTTTCTGCGAAGTCACGTTGGCGACTTTGAGACTCGCACTTGTTGGCGCGTCGCGCTAGACCGTGCTGATGAGTTCCTTGTCCGTTTCGGCACGCTAGAGGACCTGATACTGATAAGATGTATTGATGGCGAAGTTAGCAAATATGCAATTGGTACAAGAATACCACAGGCCGGAAGAACTAGATCCAAGTAGGCTGCTATTGGAAAAGGTTTGGATCAATTTCATAATCGGTCACACTTGTTGATTAGGTCTTAGTTACAGCAAAGTTACAGCCTTTTGATTTGGTATATAGGAGCTTGAATCTCACGACTCCAATGAATGTGCCATATGCTACACAGAACGTCATAGCTGCGATTCAGATTGTCAGCGTCAGCGTCATCGCAGCAGGCACAACACATCATGCATCATGTACCACCACTCCAGCCTACTCTCGCCATATACAATTTGATTTCCAAAGTACCGTAACGGTACCTTCTACCCACACACTGACTCTCAATCTTAGCCAGAACCCCAATGCTTTGAGGGACGCGATCCATAGACGAGGAATAAGTGCTAGTACGACACTGCAATGTCCCATTTAGAGCTATGTCATTTCACATCCCTCGCTGACTGCATTGAACCTTGTAATTGATGCTCTCTTTGCTGCTCTCACTTCATCTCTTGATCTTCTGCCTGTCTCGCGGATCGCTCCAACCCATGATACATCATAGCCATCCTCCGTCGCTTCACAGAAGCATGTGAGTATGTGCCCCGAGTGGGCGATGAAATGGATCGCATTGCCACAGACCGTCAAAGGAGTAAAGATCACATTCAATGGGCGCAAGTCCATAGTGCAGTGCTAGAGCTCGGTTTGTTGGGTTCCACAGTGACTACGTCAGCATGAGCGACTGTCAGATCTGATGGTGGGGTGACGCAGTTTTTGGGGCAGACAAAGTGGAATGGTTTGAGGGCATTTCTGTCATGTAGTCTGTCAGGACCAGGTTGTTGATGAGTATGAGCAACTGCTGTGGGCAGGTGGAATGAGAACAAGAAAGTGGCGCAACAACCGCTTCGTGTTAGACTAGCAGGATAGCAAGGCTCGCTGATCAGAATGTTGTCTGCAAGGTTTTGCTGAGTGATAACTTAGTGTCAGTGAGGATTGATATTAACTTTACTTGACACCTAATAAGTACTGCTGTAAGTCAGCAGACACTATTCTTTGTTGTCGCCCATCATTGAACAAACTACACTGCTCCCCTGCCTTTGATTGAATCGGCGTGTACGGGCCTGCATGGCCGGCTGAATACTGTGTTTGCTGCGCTCAAGCGCAGGTTGCAATTCAGCAGTACTGTGCTAAGTTAGCAATACATAGGAGCTGATTGGTGTGGAAGTTATAGTCTGACGTACCGTCTCCTGGAAACTCGCAGAAATAAGATCAGGCGATCAGTAGCGAGCAAACTCGAGATCAAAATGTGATTGGGAGACAGGAGACCCTCTGTGCCATATGAAAACATTGTATTAGGATGCCTGGGATGCCTGTGTATATGTGATTGCGATGAAACCAATGCAAAGAAGCAGAAACGAAGTGCAGAGTAGCTGTATAATGCTGGATGACATAGAATAAACAATCCGTAAACATATGCTTGAAAAAATAAACGGGGCATGGGTGAGACATGAAAAAGCTCCTTCCAGGACTCGAGGGGAAATATTAGCGTTTTGGTCGTTTCATATCACCGCCGGCGCTAATATCAAGGTTTGCCAGAGGTCTTCGAGTTCCGTTAGGGTTTCCAGCGACCGGTTGTTGTTGCTGAGCAAGGCCAAGGCCTTGCATAGGCCTGGATGACGATGAAGAGGCCCTGCAATTCAGGGGTAAGTCTGGTGTCAGTCATATGATGGCATCAAGAACTACATACTGCATGGTGTCAGCTTTACGTTTCAGGCCCGAAATGTTGGACGTGCTGGAAGTAGAACCCGCTGTCCAGTTTGGGAGTTGAGGTGGCCCCACTGATTTGGGTTGTTGTGCAACCGGATTCTGTTTTTCATGTGAGCAATAATCAGTCCCATAGGGAGAATGTACCCACCATGCCCGGAGGAAAATGGAACCCTCCCATGGATGGCGTGGCACGCCTAGTCTCTGAAGAGGAAGCAGATGCACTGGAGCTGCTTTCGCGTGCTTTCGGAGGCACTGAAGGTGCACCTACTGCATCGTCGAGACCATGACGTACTGAATTTGCAGTCGATGGACCAGCTTGGAAACGTGGCGCATTCGAGTGAGAAAAACGAGAACCTCCTGGAGCAGTCACTTCGCCTCTTCCAGAGCTAGAGATCTCCTGGTCATGCGCCAAGTTTTCCTGGGGAGCCTTTGAGGATTCTCGAGGCTTCCCAGATGTAGTGGTTTCCCCTTGGTCAAAAGTCACGTCCGAGACACTCACTCCGCCCATGCCCTCTTCGAAGTCGATCGGTCTCCCCAAATCACCATCCCCAAGGTCAACGTTGGCGTAGAATTCATCATCTTCTGAGTCAATACTGTATGACGTCTCGTCAGCCACTGGTAGTTCAACCTCGTCCGCTGGTGGCGGTTCTGCAGCAGGTTCAGTGAAAGACACACGCCGTTGCTCAGGCTGAACAAGTGGCGACGGGGCGGTTTGCCTATACTGTCCGCGATTCGCATTCACCGCTCGTTGGACTGGTGTTTGGATAGGAGTGTTCAGGCCGTTGGTAGTACCGTGACCATTCCCAGATGCTTGGTCATTAAAAATTGGGGTAGCGCTCGTGGAACCACTTGCACCCGAAGCCATCCCCTGCCGTAAATGTCGGGGGATATATTTGATCGGGGTCTCTGCTCCCTGAGGTGGCTCAGACTTGACTACAACCCTGTTCGCTTTCACATCTGGAGTAATCGCAGACGTTTGTGGTGCTGTTTGCATGGAAGAAGGTACAGCCATTGAAATACTGCCTGATATATGAGGTTTTGTATCATCAAACTCTGGACGGCGATATAGTTCGGACTTGTCAAATTTTGCCTTGCCAGAATTCTTGAATGAGCTCTGGTTCGTTCCCAGTACTGTGAGGGTACTTACAGGTGAGACTTTAATCTTCGTGATCTCTTGGGTATATGACTTGTCATATAAACAATTTCCAAGGAGCGATCCAAAGTTGCGGAGCGCTCGCTTCACTGCATCGGTCACAGCTTCCTTCTTACTCTGACAAGATAAAATGAATGAGCAGAACTGTCAAATGCATAAATATTACCTTGTCGATAGCCTGAGATTTACCCTTCGCATTCTCCGCCGCTCCATATCCAACATCTTCATGAAACACACCACATCTAAGGGTGACACGGACAATACAAGAAACACCAACGTTACATCTCTTGGACTCCTCATTGTAGTCCATGTAGTCGGTAGTCATATTGACAATTTGGGAACTCCATCCATTGAACCCAAACACCTCGTTTGCGATGTTAATTATTTTCCACCCTTCCGCATACGTGAGCTTAGGTCCACCTCCAGGACCAGGTCTCTGTGAGATGTACTCCGGCCCAAGCTTCTTGTTTAGCTTAGCCTGAAGCGTAGCGATCTTGATGGCCGTATCGTCGGACATATCCATAGAGAATGAGTGATCAGCGAAAGAGTTGGCTGATGTAAAACTGCCATGCATCGACGCATCGAACGACATCGCGCCGCTGGTGACAACCCTCGACTGAGGCTGACCGAATCCTGGTGCTGGCCGTTGCATTGTCATATTGTATGAATCCAAGAGGTGACCACTAAAAGCTCCAGCCATTAATAAGATAATGACCGGATGCTAAACGGGTTAACGTGATGGGAAGAAGATCAGGCGCTCAAGCGCTCACATGCACAGCTAAACGCGCTGCAAGGACCAAACTGACACAAACAGATTAACGCGTTGTTGATGCACGTGATAGACTCAATGACTCTCACGTGCCCACATTTGAGCTTGAAGTCTAGAGTCAGACTGCACCATAGTCTGCAACTCACACCTTCCTTGAAGTTGAACTGACTATATTATGATATGGCAATAGATTCATAAGTATTGCCATGACTTGAACGCAATAGTGTATGTGCCCCCTTCTCCAGCCTGAGGATTATCATATCTCGTATACTGTCTTCCTGACTTGTGCAAACCTTTCTGGGTGCCGATCTCTCAAATTTATGTCCTTGGCCGTGGATCGCACGGTGATGAATTCGGAGTCTCGGATGTAGTAAATAGCTACATTTTTTGGCTGCCTGGCGTTACTGGCACAAGTTATTTTTACAATCACCAACCCAACAACATTGGGCGCATGTCATTGTCATCAGCTACAGCCTGTCACGCACTGCTGTGCGATACGCAGCTAAATTCGGTCCATTTCAGTGCAGTACATACATACTCGGGCATCCGCGCAGGGGTTTGAGTTCTCCGTCTTAGTACTCGGCCCGAATTAGTGACTCCTTGGGCCCATTGGCGCTGTTAAGATTCTAAGTAAGAATCGGGGTAGTTCTGGGGCATGTGTGGAAGGCCGAGTTGATCGGACGTACCTGCCAGAACTGCTTGAATTCAAGCTTGACGAGTATTTTCAAAAGAGTGAGTGAATCTTGGGATCGTACTGCAAAGAGGAAATTTCAGCGGCATAGACAAGCACTTAGCAAAATTGATTAGCTAATGTAAATTCTCCATTTTTGGAAAGCGGAAGACGAACTTTCCTTTGCGGACAACTTCACTTTCCAATTAGATAGACTGGTGGTGACCGGTCTGACTTCCAATGTCTGCTCTGCAAGCCGTCAAACGGTTTCGAATACGGGAGCTCGGGGCTACTGCTCTACCGAGTCCCGTTCTCGCCAAAACCAAATCATATCCTAGCTCGGCATCCTCGTCGCGCAACAAGGTTCCAGTTGCTAGCATAGAGAATCCATTCATCCCGAAGCTCAATTCAAAGACAGGCAGATGGGCACCGCCAAAGTATTCCCTGCGCCAACAGGCTTTGCTTGTCAAGAAAGCTCGCGAATCTGGCACGCTTGCGCTTCTGCCTCCTGGTCCTAAAATTTCGGTAGTAGAAATTGCTGCTGCTGCTGCTGCTTCTGGGCAGTCCATTGTTCCAGGACCCTCAGCTTCAGTAAAATCTCAAGTTCAAAATGCTGCCGCACCATGGACGCGCCCAATAGAATGGACAGGTGAAGTGAAGGAGAAGAAAGTTCTTGGTGCAGAAATTGGGAACAGATTGTATGCAGGGAAGAAGCGAATGTTCAAGGGGCACAAGTGGCAGCGCACTGCAGAGAAGAGGGAGAAACGGAGAGCGTTACTCATGCGCAGTATGCCCAAGCGTATTAAAGAGTTTAAGCAGGTATGGTCTCTACTGTCACTTTCACTGCGATGGTTGACATGGTGTTTCAGTATTACAAGAGGCGACGCCCACACCCTCTCAAACCTCCCCGTACCGCTAAGAATGCGAAACTTCCGTTCTAGATTTGTTTGCTATTTACTGGCCATTAGAATTGTGTTCCAGCCTAGTACATATGTGCTTAAGGAACGATCGAAACTTTACTAATGCGGATCATTATCCTGCAGCGGTGTACTAAGAGCACAGCTGATCTTGCCAACTAATCCAAAAACTGGTCGAGCGCGTGATACACCAGGAATACGGACCGCTAGTCGACCTGAGTGGTCAACGCGAGAGGTCCGGTAAATATGGACCCGGTCGGATCATATTCGGAACCGAATCGATGGATGTGACAGGACTATCATTACGGCCTTATAGGGCTTCCGGGTTTCTGAGGACCCTGCCAGTCTGAGGTCCATACCTTTTCCTATTTCTTTCTCTATCTTCTAATCACGAATCTGGTAGAATGGACCTTGATCACTACGAACACTGCGACAGAACACAAGATCATCGCATAGAAGGCGTTAGCGAAATAGATCTGCTCATTCCGCTGGATGAGGACTCGGAAGCTCAAGAGCGAAGGCTCTTGAGGAAATTGGATAAGAGGATTCTACCAATACTATGCCTTCTTTATTTATTTGCTTGTGAGTTCGATCTTCTGCGTCTTCGGTGATTTTGGCAGGGCACCAATCAAATGATCTGATCTTTGAACTCGGCAGACCTTGATCGGTCCAACCTGGGCAATGCTCGATTACAGGGTTTGCCCGGAGATGTTCTCGGTGGAGATCCCACTGGTGTACTATTTGACTGGGTCAATTCTGCCTTCTTTTTCACCTATGTGAGTTTCCAATTCTTTTGGTTTTTCGGTCGCGTGCCAACTACTATCGGACAATGCGACTCGCAGATACTTTTGCAAATTCCATTCACGGTCCTCTCGAAGTATTACAATCCACGCATTTGGATTGGCTGCTCTGCTATCCTCTGGGGAATATCTTCCACATCAATGGTCTGAGAACTGTATAGTTCATGTTTCCTTTGTTCTCATGACATGTGACATACTCAGGCAACCGCGCATACTTTTACTGGCCTGATGATTGCTCGACTTGCGCTGGGAACTTTCGAAGCAGCCTTTGGAGGTGCTGTTGTATTATACTTTTGTGAGTTGTGGTTGTGGAACTTTCAGTACCTACTGGATTTGACGTTTTTAATAGCTTTCTACTATACCAAGGCCGAGTGCGGTACTCGCATCGCATACTGGTTTGGGTTTGCAGCCGTCGCAGGGGCATTTGGGGGGCTCATCGCTTACGGGATCCAACATGTCAAGGTGTCGATTGCGAACTGGAGGTTACTTTTTCTGCTCGAGGTATGTTGGACAGATGGAATGTAAGTCATGCACTGATAATATGCCTTCCAGGGCACACCAACAATACTCCTGGGTTTCCTTTGTCTATCCTTACTTCCAGACCGTCCGGAGTCCACTCACTTTCTTACTGCGGCGGAGCGTAAAATCGCGATTAGCCGTATGAACAGAGGGACAAGTGGCGACTTTGGTGCAGTTGTCCGTCGAAGTAATGCTCATGAAATTGATGCAAGTATAAGGTTCTGACTGATGAACAGGTCATGTCATCGCGGCTTTCCAGGACTGGAGGGCAAGCCTTCCATCGGCCTTTCTATGACCCGGTATCTGATATGAACCGTAGATTTACGTAGGTGGCGTAATTTACTTCGGCCTCAATTGTGCCTTGGCATCGTTGTCGGCCTTCTTGCCAACTATCATTGGTACCATGGGGCATGGTAAGACTATCATTTCTGTCATCAAACCATCTTTGACTCAAATTTACATTAGAAAATGCGATGGCTCAACTAATGACAGTGCCGCCATATGCTCTAGCCGGTTTCGTGCTCATGGTTACGTCCTACGCATCCGATAGGCTGCAGATTAGAGGACCCTTACTTGTCTGTACCAGCACGATTGGTGGTCTGGGTTATATGTGAACGTTGTTATTTATGGATAGGATGCAAATGCTGATATGGATTCTGCTCTAGGATAATGCTTGGCGCTACTAATCGGCAAGACGTGCGCTATGGCGCCACATTTCTCATCACTAGCGGAACCTATTCGAGCATCGGCTTGATGAACGCTTGGTGTACTTTGATTTTATATATATGTCTACAGTTCATTTAATTTTTCTACTCAACAGATAGCCATAATCTCGGCTCTGAAACGAAGAGAGCCGCTGGGATTCCGCTCTACGGTGCTATTGGGCAAATCGGTGGCATCTTGGGATCCCATCTCTACCCTTTGACTGAGGGTCCCGCTTACACGTTTGTCCTTCGACCTTTCTATACCTGACCTAACTGACGGTATTTTAGGAGCGGATTTACTGGTAATGTGACAGTCATACTGCAACTTCCTCCCACATTGACAAACTGACATCAGTTTCTGCGTTCCTGCTCTTTTTGGCTGCGCTATGTGCACTCTTGTTGAGTGTAAGCCTAGATCTCCTTTTGTGATCACCTGAATTCATCATTCATTTTTCTTCAAAGGTTTCCTTCCGTTTGGACAATATGCAGCGAGATCAGAAGTATGGCAAGCCAGATCCAGATGATATGGTAGATACATCGGAGCTCGCAGACAAGGTAAGTTGTTAAATTGAAAGGCAAATGTTTGTTCTGACCAATCAATAGGCTCCTGCATTCCGATACGTTCCGTAGCAGATACGTAATCGCATACCCAATGATCAGTCCAAATACTATTATACCGTTAAGTACTGTTTCTTATCCGATTCACTAGGACCTTGTTTCTTCTTACTTTTTCAAGTCCTTCTGACAATATTTGTTTCCCCAATCACTTCATGTCCATTCGTTACTACCAACATCAATGAAATGGGCACCCATCAAGTCAGAGAATATTCGAGTGACTTCAAACCACCGCATCAATATATCCACATCTGAGACCTTTTACACGAGCTGCTCGAGAAGCAAACGTCACTGACACAAGCATCAGACTTGGATCTACCAGTGTCGGCAATGCTTGATTGATGGGTCTAGCACGGAACGCGCTTGAAGGAGACCTGACAGGCGTTCAATCCGATATGCCCAATTCTGCCGTTTTTATATCATATTTGTGAGCCAACATGCACTTGACTAGTTGATCACAGCACGATAAATTCTCTTTCAAGTTCCATTCCCGGTATCCTTCAACCCCCTATGTTGGCTAGGATGCTTTGCGATCGCTTGGAGTCTATTTCAACCCTCATGGTCGGGCCATATATAGTGGTCACAGTTGTTCTTGTCTTAATGGTACATGTATCGGATAAGTATCATAAACCGCAAAGCAGGGGCTTTCCGTTTTCGCTGTCTGCGGCGCCTTGGATGTAGTAGGCTATGCGTACGTGAGCGAGTCCCTAGTGAGAACAAATCACTCATGAACGCTCTTGTCAAAAAAAGATTGCTATTGTGTTATCCTTATAGTCAGCGCATCCGTCACTGTGTTGCACGCGACTACTGGTGTTTATTATGCCAGGCTCAGGGTGGCTTGGTGTAAGCGTGCCGCTCATTCGGTTTTAATTAAGATACGACGACGTTTCGAAATCAGTTACTCACAATATTCTTGGCTTTGATCAAAAAGAGCTGCTAGAATTTTATTGTGTGGAGCAATCGGACAGGGAGGGAGCATCTTGGCCAGGGTGCGCACCTGCCCACCGATCAGTATGAGTACAGGCAAGTCTTTAGCCGAATTCTTATTCTTTCAGACGAGGATTGACTGATTAGCAAAATTCCCTTTCACTGAGATGCGGCTGTTGGTCTTCAAGTTCCAGGCTAGGCGCTCTCCCTCTACATAGTCACAGCGCTGTGTACCTTGATATTGATCGTAAGTCGGATCATGCAATCCCCTGCAATCCCCTTGATTGTGCTCCAATTCCACCGTTGGGACAATGAGCAACGAGACATCCAAAGAGGTACAGAACTTTGATATATAACGCTCGCATTTCTATTAAGACGGGATAGCCACCGGTCTACATTTCTACGCACTCGAAAAGTTCAATATTGATTCTATTCTTATGTCATGGTCTGCAACAAACTGAATATTCAGTACTCAGTAATGAGGCGCAACACGTAACATTGAGGAACGTGGAGAATTTTGAGGCCGACGATAATGCGAAGCAAACATCAAGCGTATAGTGGGCGAATAAGGTTCGTAAATTCGTAAATCCAAGTCATAAACGCGAGAAGAATGTGGTGTCAGGTAACAAAAGCGTATCGGATGGCTAGAATAATCGTAGACAAAAAGATCTGGACAGTAAAAGTGAAGCACACGATAATGATGGAAAGTGTGATTGATCCGAATGTATTCCTAGAAGTGTGTAGTGCACGGTATAGTGCAGATGCAAATATGGAAATTTGGAATGAAGATGAGAGTGGAAGCTAATGTGCTAGAGATCAAGCAAATGACCGTTACTTGCCGCCACCCTGAAGGATGAGAGCCTTTTCTTTGAGAACAGAAGGGTAGCTATTCATGAGATGAGCCAGAGCCCGGAGATCGTCTTGATCAAGCAAGCCGATGGTAAGTTTAGGCTGAAAGAAGAAGAAGCGTTCAGTCACACGAGCAGCACCGATAGAACCCAAACTTACTGCGCCTTTAATACCAAACGCCTTGATAGCTCGATACCTGAATGCATCACAAAGTTAGATTTCCGTAAAGCTGAAAATGCTACTACCGACGTACAACTTATCGCCGAGCTGTTGCTTCTGTGCCTGTATTGGCTTATCCATAAGGCTGTCGATAAACTCATCTGTACTCTTGACGACTAACGGGTCTACTTTCGGCAGAGGGAGGCCGGTTGCTGACGATGAATTTGCGAGCTTAATAATCTCGGCAGCGGGTAAACGAGCTAGAGATGCGATTGTATGTGACGAAGATGATCCGCCGGGTGTAACTGGTACGGGAGACGACGCGGCAGATGGGCCCTTGGATGACAATGCAGGAGTCTTGGGAGAGCTCTCAACGGTTGCACTGATCTTCTTCGCCTGAGGCGTCACTGGGATGGGCTGTGCAGGAGCAGATTGGATAGACTGAGTATCCGGCTTCTGTTGTTCCCCATCTCCATCATCACTATCCAGGACCATTTTTGCGTCTGCTATCTTTGCTCGCAGAACATCGGTGTTGAACAGACACAGGGCACGCTCGCGCTTAGGAAGACTCATGAGAAGTTCGACGAGGTCGGCCTGCCTGGATGACTCGAGTTTGCTTACAGCCACAGCCATGCGGTCTTGCTCAGAAATAGGTGGCACCGAGCCAGAGGGAGAGGAAGTGCGTGGAGGTGTGGACAGGGACGCAGAGATTGAAATAGGGGTAGATGGATGCTCCGGCGCCGAGGCAGTGGCATTCAGAGCGCTGGGGTCGAGCACACGCGAATCTTGAGAGTTCGAGGGCGAGGGCGACTTCATAGGTGAGGGTGTGCTGACAGGCTTCAGCGAATTACGGGCAGTAGCAACTTGTTCGGCAAATTTGGCAGGATCTTGAATACCGGAGACGGCTTCGCTCAGAGACAATGATACCAAGGATTCAACGACCGATTCGACCTCGTTGGCGGGTACAGTATCACTCGCCTTCACTCGTCGGCTGAGTTCACCGGTGAGAACTTCCTTCCTCACCACAGGTGAAAGCGCGGCAAGATCATCGTAGCGCATAGGCAAATTAAGAGTGCCAGAAAGAGCAGCCTGTGTACATGTCAGTATTCATTTTAACTGCTAAGAAAGGACAAAGGTTTTACATTATAATAGCTGCCTGAGCCTCGCCTGCCTCTGTCCGGACGGTCAATATGACCCATAACGGGCGAGCCAAGAACAGAAGGAGCACGGCGTGGACTAGAGAAGCCGATGTAGCTCTCGCCAGCTTCACTAGCAGTGGGACTTGTTGCTCCGCTCGCACTTCTAGGGTGTCCATTATGGCCAAACCGCTGGGCGAGTTTCTCCTGTCGTAACTGTTTTGGTTCATGGAGTCTGACGACTAGCTGTTTTGTGCCTAGAACGACACCGTTCATAGCATGCATAGCAGCGGAAGCTAGATTGGCATGGAATTAACAATTACCGATGTCGAGCAAACAGTAATATTATACCTGCATCGGGAGTCTGGAAGGAAACGAATCCAAAGCCACGGCTCTCGCCATTCTCGTTTCGCATCACGCGAGCACTATCCCGATCATTAGGGCGTCTTTCGGAAGAAAGGAGATGGCCCATACCTGACAATCTGACCGAACTATAATTCCATGGTAGCGTGAGATGAATAATTTAGCACAGGAAAGTAAAATATCAATACCTGACGGAAATGGGCGAAAAGACCGTTGGAGTTTATTTCAGGGTCTAAGTTCTGTACCCGAGGATAAGTACCTTCAGAATCGTGATGTGATAAATGCTGACCTTGCAGAATAGATTGCAAGGGTCTATCAGACCACTGTGACTACTGGACCCGGGTCCCGATAATGGGGCAAGTTGCACTTGCTGGCCCGGACCATGAACAAATATGGGGGCTCTTGCAGCAGGGTATGGACTCACTCGAGGAGGCGAGTACTGCTGCTTGGTTAGTGGGCCCGATCAACAATAATGACGTTGAGATACAAACTTGAGGATAGGGGAATACAGATCCTGATGGAACAAATGTTGGGGCATGGGCGCTGAACTCAGAGACAGTACCACTGGTACGTCGTGCCTGGTATACTGTTACAGCAATGTTTTGTCCTTCAACATCAGCACAGTGCATAGCTTCTTCAGCAACTTGTGCATCCTCTTCACGCCAGAACTCGACAACTCCGGTATCGCTTCCAAATCCAGTCTGTGTCCGAGTAGATGCGAGAGCGCCAAATGGTCGAAATAAATCATAAAGTTGGAAATCAGTAAAACCAACTGGAAGATGCTTGACAAGACGTGGCAGAGCGGATGGAGGGGGGAGTGGCGTCGGCGGTGTGGTTGGGGGATATGGAGATAGGACCAAAAACACGGAAGGTTGCAAACCCTGAATCGGACGCGACTGCAAGGTGGCGAGAGCCTTCTCCGCTATGAGAATTAACAGTTCAGTTAGGAAGATCAAAATGAACGTGCAAATCAGGCACAACCTTTCTCGAGGTACTTGAATTCTATGGTTCCTGAGAGAGGGCGATTGCTGCCATCACGCGCAATGTTGGGTCTGAATGGAGCACATGGTTGGAAGGTCATGGCAAGATTCTCATCAGTGACATAAGGGGGAAGATTGGAGATATAAAGCAAAGGTTCGTGAAGATATGGATGAGGTTGGGGAACCTCGGTATCCTGCAAGGTCGGAGAAGAATATCCAGTAGCCATCTTGATTATCGGTATAAGATGACTACTCCGAGTCAATTCTATGTTCAATAGATGAATTTTCTGTCAGTCTATTTTGATCTAATACTAAAAACTTACGCAGTCAATTGGGGGAATCAACGACCTTGGGTCACCAATTCGAAGTGGTCACTGCAATGCCAAAGCACGCAAGTGAAAAATCGGGGCGTGGAAAGCTTATATCAGCGACGCGTGGTCGCTGCGTCGATGATGCTTTAGTCCTTGACTCGGACTACTTTTGAAATCATGATCGCGGCCCAATTGACCCAGATTGAGTTGCTCTGAGCAACTGTCCAACACCAACCAGCATGAGCTAGCACGATAACCGCTAGTGGATGCGTTCGACATGCCGTGGGGCGGTTCTCGTGAGTCGTGGCCAACACAAGTACTAAGTACTTAACATTTTAATGGTGCGTTTTCACCCTCTCTCACGTCACGAGCGCAAGCTGCGGTCCCTCGCATCTCTGAGCCTGTGCCCAAAATACTAGTCAGTATTCGCATAATGTATGTCTCCATGATATCATCACTATATGGTCTTATGAGATGGTTATTTTCTGCTTGATAAGCTCACGTTCAACATGTTTCTGCAGATCCCCTCGGACTTACGCGTGCGTTTTTCATGGATCCCTACCTGGAACAATCATGCCGGCGGGTCACGGTTTTACCAGATGACACAAAAGACAACATTCCTTCCGTCCGATCAGCCAAACATCACAGCTTGCGAACCCTTTGTCCAATTCGAGCTCGACCACCGACCTCCAGCATGTCATTGCACGCATGTGGTTCCGTTTTTCTACGAATGTACTTCCACAGTGCTGCGCACGAAATGGTACTATTCATTTACGAGTGGACTCCACTTCGATCACATCCGTGCGGGGATCCTCGTCATCCGTGAAGTTGTTCCGCGATCACACCAGTGTGGGGATCTTCGTCATCTGTCAAAGTGTTCCGCCCACTTTTTGCAGTATTGTTTCCGAAAAAAATTATATTTGGTGATAGTACAGTGGGCACCCCTGGCCGGCAGCCCACAATGCCCGGTCGGTTCTTTGTTGTTCCTTGATGAACATTTCATAATGTTCTTTCAGAGATGCCTCCCACTGGTACTAGGCCTACAGGTAACTCTAACATCCAAAGTTCTGTCGTGCAAATTGTTCGGAACTCTGAGCACACATCCTTTTCAGTCAAGGTTCTCCGTCCTGTGAGGAACAAATCCCTTTTACCTGCGCTTCAAGTGACACAACATCCCACATTAGATGAGACGTTTCCGCAACCTCCCCCATTCTGGTATATCAGATTGTTATTCTCAGTGCAACTAGTGTTCTCACGTCATTTCCTCATTCATTCCGATTCCTGCATCTCGGTGGTCTATTTTTCTTTCTAGACATATTTACACACTCCACTCTGGAGTCCGAGGCTCGATTGAAGTCTGGGTCTTAGTATATCTGCCTCTGGCTGCAGTACTTGGTTGCCGTGTCTCACGCGTGTCGGGACGGATGTCAGCCCATACTAGATGTTCACCAGAGTTCGTGTTTTTTTGCAACAACAATAACTTTTTTTACCGTTGAATAGCCTGATGTCGAAAACACAATGACTGCTAGTTTTTGTCTCGAGATGCGAAGAGTTGAGTCCAGCGGAGAGTTATAGCAGAGTGGGATTGTCTCAATCAATTTGTCTGGTGATAACAGTGTGAAAGTCAAACAAGAACTAATACTAGATATCAAACAAACATGTTAATGCATAGTATTTGGGCAAAGCCCTATCAACCAAAACATATCTCAGTTCTTCCTAGATGGGGACAAGATGAGCTGCAAATGCCCAATATTAAGGCATGCATCAAGTCAACAAAGGCAAGCTAAAGGCAAAGATTGACCATCAAAGGAATTGACTGTTGTTCTGACATCCAACAAGGTGAGTTAAGGTAGTGGAGCATGTAGCAGCAAGAGCTCAGTGATGTGCAAAGTCAGCTAAATGTATTGATGTACCTGTAGCAGCAAGAGCTACAGATATGGTTAGATATGTAGGTACTGTTACAAGTAACATCGGTCACGTGGCCCCCCTATCATTTTCCCTTCATCCTCGCCCTCACCATCTACCGGCTCGTCCTCCTTTACCGACTTTCCGTTGACCGGATCCTCAGGACCGTTCCCGTCCCTCGCATCGCCCGCCTCTATGCACGTGCACGCACGTTCCTCCCCTGATTTGACCACCAATGTGGTCCCGCACCTATGACTCGGTCTGACTCGTGCCACCAATGTGGCTTTCCTCTTTCTGTTCCTTCTGACTGCGGATTCCCACACGTTGTATTCTTACCGTTGGTCCATTCCAACGTTTCTCGGTCTCATTCCACATTCGACCACCCATCACTAATCTGGCCCTGTTGCCAATGCACCTATACCATTCTCGTTTCCCCTTTACCCTTACCTACTGTGCAGTAGCCTTGCCCTTAACCCTCTCCACTTAGTATAAGTAGTCGGTCACCCTGTACTAGATTCCCTAACTTGAATCTACTCAATCTTCCCTGGAACATACTTCTCTCTGAACGCCCCTTTGGCTTCAGTCTCTAGTATCTTTTCTTAGTTGCTCATCGCGACTAAGTCTACCTCGATCGACCTCATTGTTCGGACAAGACTGTCCTTACCTTGAGCGACTTCAGAGACATCCGTCTCAGAAGTCACGTGACACGCGCGTACTGTGATCACTGCCGACTCGCCGTCGCCAGTCTCACTTGCTATACCGGACCCTTCTGGTTACGTCACGAACGTTAGCAGACGACGCCCCTCTTAGGGCTCCACCTAACAGATCTATTTGAGTGCGTAACAGGTACTAAATGATTGAATGGTACTAACCTCAGCAACATACAAAGTCAACTGAGGAAGTAGATACATGCATGAGGAAACAAAAATTTCTAGTAGTTAGTAAGCGAACAGCTCTGAAGGACAATAGCGAGCATTTAATATCCAACACTCCCCCTCAAACCAAGCATAGTCTGAGGGTGGAGGCAAAGTGCTTGACTTCGAGACTAGGAAGAGATTTTGTAAGGATATCTGCAGTCATAACGTCTGTAGGGCAGTAAAGTAATAAAATCAAGTCTTTTTCAACAGAGAACCAAATGAAATGATACCTAATGTTGATGTGTTTTGTCCGGGCGTGAAACACCCTGGACTTGGCGAGTGCAATAGCTAATTGGTTGTCGCAATGAAGGACAATAGTAGGATGAGTTAATGGATGGAATATTTTGCTGATGAAGTGATGCAACCAAACGGCCTCTTTCACAGTGTGTGTAGCCGCGATGTATTCAGCTTCAGTAGTGGAGAGAGTTACTAACTCTTGCTTCTTCGAGCTCCACAACACTGCACCACCATCTAGCAGAAACATGTACCCGGATATTGCATGGTGATGCTCTTGGGATGCACTGTCAGTGTCCATATATCCTTCAAGCCCTTGCTTGGAGCCTCCAAAGGTGAGTGCTAAGGTTTTCGTGCCAACCAGGTAGCAGTAGATGTGTTTTACTGCATCCCAATGCAGCATTCTTGGGTTCGTGCCGAATTGTGTGATGGTCAATATGGTGAACATGATGTTGGGTCGCATACCCACAGCTAAGTGCATCAGCGAGCCTATGGCTTCATGATATGAGATGTTCTTCATGAGGGTGGCTTCTGCAGAGGTTTTTGGAGATTGCAAGAGGGATAATGATACATTTGGGTCCATGGGAATGGAGCAGGGCTTAAAGTCGCTGAAATTGTACTTAGCTAGGATGGCTTCAATGTAGGTTTCGTGCAAGAATGAAATGGTCCATGTGACCTTCATTCTGAGGAGGGATGCGACTGGCCCTAGGTCCGTGAGCTTGTAGTGTGCAGCTACTTGCTGCTTAAACTTGGCAATTAGAGTGTGATTGCTGCTGGTGATGGTGCAGTCGTCAATGTGGGCAGCGAGTATGAGAATATCAGGGCCAATGTGTTTGTAAAACATGCCCCAGTCCAATTCTGCGCGTGTTAGTCCTAAGTCTTTGAGGAGATGACATAGCTGTTGGTACCATTTGAGAGCTTCCTGCTTGGAGCTGTAAAGTGCCACATGTAGGCATGCGACTGGATGCTTAAACTGTGAGTTGACATTGAGTCTGGGTGGAAGTTGCATGAATATGACTTCATTAGAGTCAAGTTTTCCATTGAGGAAAGCACTGTGAAAATTGAAGAAGTCAATGTTGCAGTCATTGCAGGTGGCAATTGCTGTGATCGTCCAGAGAGAAGCAAGGCATGTGACCGGCGCATACATATTGTAATAGTCAACACCATGCACCTGTGAGTAGCCTTTTGTGACTAATCGAGCTTTGTACTTATCAATTTCCACGTCCACATTTCTCTTAATGCGGAAGACCCATTTACACCCAACCATGTTTGCTCCCACCGGCTTCTCTACGATCAACCACGTGTTTGCATCTTTGAGTGCGGTGAGTTCCTTTTTCACTGCATTGTCCCATTTTGGCCAGTCCGTTCTGACACGGGCATCTTCCAGCATTGTGGGATCCATTCCCTCTACTTCTTCCACTCTGGCCACCATCACAAAAACCTCTTTGTCATCATCATTAAGCTTGCCGTACTCTCCACCTACTCCTAGCTCAATAGCTAGGTGACTATACTCCCCTGCAGGTCGCATACCTTGAGGTAAGTCCGTGCTTTCGCCATCCATGATGCCAGCACCTTCTCTTAGACTCTTGATGTAGACTGATTCTACTCTTACTCTTCCAGAGCGATGCAGCTGTGTATTTCCTTCAAATTGGGCGCCTAGGTGGTCAGTGGGAGGTGGGTTGTTCATTGCGGGTGATGGTTGGCTGGTGAGTTTTGAACCAACATCATCAATTCATACCGTGTTGCTAACTGGTACTTTTATGGATGAACCGACATCATCGATTCGTACCATTGTAGAGATACAACAATTGCTGGACACTACATGAAGTAAGTGTTTAGCAATATATAATGTGTTGTGGTCTTGCACAGCCTAGTCTGCTATACTTGCAGAGCAAGTGCGTTCGACCTGAGGGGTTTGCTATTTGGAATAGGTCTGTAGTTAGTGAAATGATATGTGGTCAAAAGTCTGAGCATGGGAAACAATGTCCGATGTTTTCGGGTTAGCAGGTTGTGTCGGGTTGTGTCGGGTTGTGTCGGGTTGTGTCGGGTTGTGTCGGGTTGTGTCGGGTTGTTGTGTCAGGTTGTGTTGGGTTGTGTTGGGTTAGTGTCGGGTTTGCATCTGAAATATAGTGAATGTTGGGGATAGTGAATGGTGGATGTTTCAGAGTGTTTCGGATAAAGAAAGGATGATATTTGCGGAAATCAGCTAAGAACTACTAAATATCAGATGATTTCCTCCTACTCGGAGGTAGAAAGGTAAGTAATAGGTAGGTAGGAGGTATGCGAAATATATAGTGTCTATGTAGAATTTTGGAGTGCTATAGGCAAAAGTAGTAGCGATAATTTTCGGGTCCGATGTCCTATGTAATAAGACATGCAGTACTGTGGACATGTAATAATGTGGTCTACAATGTTAGCGACGTGAAAATGAATAACTGCACACCTAGTGGGGATAGATATGACAGGACATGACATAGGGAGGACATTTTCATCGGGTTAGCATCAGGTTTCATCAGATTAACATCAGATTAGTGGATTAGTGTCGGGTTTAGCAGTGTAGCACTCAGCCTCGCACTGAGCTCATATTCTGTTATTTCCTGATACATGTTCAATGCCTGTCGTGCACTAATCACTTCCCAATGTAACCCAACACTAACCCACTCAATCCAACACTAACCCGATGAAACCCGACACTTTGACTAGCAGATCCAATGTTTCGGCTGCATTGGCTGACCCGAAATCCTGCGCACTTGTCTTACCTGTGTCCCGTGCTGTCTTGCTAGCCCCACTAGGTGTGTAGTTGATTATTTTGCACATTACTCATGTCGTAGCCAGCACTATTACATGTTTTCCCATTGTCCACAGCACCTCGTGTTTGTTTACATGTACTTCGGACCCAAAATATTCCACCACTACTTTCGCCTATGGGTTTCTGGATTTCTACATACTTACATATATATTGGGCTGACTTCGAGTATTAGTAGGGAGCTGTTTCCTGATACTTAGTGGTCAAACCTGATATTTTGTAGTTCTTAGTTGACATTGCAAATATTACCGCTCTTTCTATCTAAAATACCCATCATTATTGTTAATCCACATACTGCTCGCTTTCCCGACATTCGCTATCACAATTCCTAGTAACCTGCTAAACCCAAACCCAAAACCCACTAATCTGCTAACCTGAAAACATCGGACCTGATGCTTTGGCATCGGACATTGTTTCCCATGCTCAGACTTTTGACCGCATATTGTTTCACTAACTACAGACCTATTCGAAATAGCAAACCCCTTGGGTCGAACGCACTTGCTCTGCAAGTATAGCATACTAGGCTGTGCAAGACCACAACACATTTTATATTGCTAATTACTTACTTCGTGTAGTGTCCAGTAATTGTTGTATCATTACAATGCGCATGTTCCACGAGAGTTCTATTGAGTCTCTCCACAACTCCATTTTGTTGCAGGGAATTG